GGACTATGCTTAGGTTCTGCAGCTCCCTTGCTGGTGAACCCACCTGGTAAACTCCAGTTTAGCACCATATGGTTGGACTGGCTATAAAACAAAAAAACACTTCAAGACTAATTTGCACTATCATTTAATTTATGCTCTGTTTGATTCGCTGCCCTGTGCTGTGAAGTTTCCAGCTGGTGAGTTCTTCAGATCCTCTCAAATCTCCCACCCAGCTGGGACACAGACTCCTCTGGACCTCCCAGCCCACCACTACCCAAGGTTTGGACATGGATGTTTCAGAGAAGCTTTTACCTTCTCTGCACTGGAACTGACTGGCTGGGATTTCATTTCTCTCTGCTCTTCTCCCTGCAGGATCTACCCCTGCAGGGCTGTGGGTGGTACAGTGTAGCTGATTATTTATTAACAAAACATTAAGTTATGAGACTGTCTTTTCTCTGTTATGTATGAGGTAAGAAAATAAACCTGTTATTGTTCACAAGACTGGCAAATCTGCTGTGTGCATTGCTGCCATGCCCTGCTGCACCCAGAGCAGAGATGCAGGTCACTGGGACACCCCCTTCACATTAACAAGCTACAATGCAAAAAGCAAACACACAAAGAAGAAAAATCAGCAAGCACAGCTTGAAAAAAGTCACCACAACACAAGGCCTTTATTTTACCTCTCAGCCTTCTCACTGCAGTGCATCATCTCCCAAAGCAGGATTTATTAGACTTCACCTTCACACAGAACTTCACAGTCCCTTACCTTGTGCAATCAAATACCTGCAATTACAATGCCCAGGAGGTGCCCAGACCCTTCTCAACACTGACAGCAGCAGCAGCTGCTGCAGCTTATTGCTGGCTGGAAAAATAAACAGAGGAAGAGAAGAAACTCGTGCATTTCCATGTTATAACATCATCAGTGCTTTCACATTGGCACATGTGAGGGCAGGGGCATGCGGGGCAGCAGCACCGGGGCTGCTCCCCAACCCTGCACTACGGGCACCTAAAGAGCTGAAAGAGATCCTAATCCAAACTGTGCAGGTGTGTGACCACGCTCCCTGTGCTGTGATCGGTGCCCGGTCCCTGGTGTGACCAGTGTCCCTGCAATGGCCAGTGTCCCTGTCCCTGCGCAGTGTCGCTGTCCCTGTGCAGTGTCCCTGTGCACTGCCCCTGTCCCTGCGCAGTGCCCCTGTTCCTGTGCAGTGTCCCTGTGCAGTGCCCCTGTTCCGTGTCCCTGTGGAGTGACCAGTGTCCCTGTCCCTGCGCAGTGTCCCTGTCCAGTGTCCCTGTCCCTGTCCAGTGTCCCTGTGCAGTGTCCCTGTCCCTGTGCAGGGTCCCTGTCCCTGTCCGGTCACTCACTGACCGTGGCCGCCGTCCCGGGGCACCGCCCGCCATCGCCCCCTGCCGGGCACGGGGCGCACTGCGCGCTCCACCCGCGGGACACCGGGACAGGGACACCGGGACAGGAACACCGGGACAGGAACACCGGGACAGGTCAGAGCCCCCAGCGGCTCCTCCGGCAGCTGGCACAGGACACAGCAAAGGCAAGTCCCGGCTGTTGGACACTGGGGTTGAAGGCAGCTGTTAGAAAAGAGCTTCAGGAACGGAGCTGCCACCAGTCCTGTGACCCTAAGCCATCTGTCACAGCCTGCACCACAAACTGCCCCTACTGAGCTGATCCCAGCTCCCTTAAACTGGGCTGGGCATATGCACGATTTTTATTTCAACACCTGCACCACTGCAGCCTTTAGACCACAGAAACCCCAGACTTCAGACAGTGAGAGGTGAAAAACCATAATCAATACATGTAAAACTGTTTAACAACGTTTTCCCAGCCCTACATGAAACCCAGAGCCAACATTCCACAGCCCCCTCAACACCCAGCCATCCCCAGAGCAGCTGCCACAGATTTCCCTCCTCTGTACCAAGGTCAGGGACTGTCCCCCCCAGCCACCCAACCTGCCGTGACCTGATGGAACACAAACCCTCAAGGATGGAAGGCACACAGATGGCAGCACAACAGGTTTTACCAATTCACACATTTTTTTAGGATGTTAAGATTTTTCTCTATTTTAAAATGTGGCTGTGAAACCACAAGTGTTGCTGTTAATTAGTGGTAAATAATGCACCAAGTCAGTGACATAATCAGGAAAGGTGCAAACCCCAAATCCACACGTAGATACATACAGCAAAGAAATTACATAAATATATAACTTGAGATGTGCAAGAGGTATTTAACAGAAGTAGCCAGGACATTTTTACACCACTATTTATAAGTACAATAGTTTTACACAACTATTTAATAAAAAATAAAAGCTTCCAGCATAGCAAATTTAATTTCCTGCTGTGCTTGGTATACAGCTAACTTCAACATCACCTGGGACAGAAATAGAACACAGATTTGGAGCTGGATTAGGACATATTACATGTGAACATTTCCCCCTTTTTCTGATCCCTAAGACCAGGCAGGTTTAACAGCCAACAATCAATGACACTTGCTGCTCTCACACCAAACAGTGACACTCTGCACCTCAGTACCAAAATGCTTCAGGAAAAACACAGGCTCAAAATGTGGAAGCTGAGGTATAAGTCAGAATTTACCTTCTTGTAGGGGCATAGAATATAAGTAAATAAAGGTAATACAGCAAGTAATCTTACCTGCTAAAGAGTTGCAGCTGGGTTAATTATTAAAGATTAGGAGGCCTGACTTTAACAGGCCACAGCTATAGCCAATAAGAAGAGTGTTATAAAAGAGTGGGGATTGGTGGATTGAGGGGAACCGGAGTCAGTTGGATACTGTGAGAAGAAGGAAGAGTCAGTGCCCAGAGCTGCCTACAAGAAACATCACAGAGGTATGAAACTCCAGCAATATGGAACCTCTGCAATAAAATGACAATAGAACCCTTGCAATGGAATGACAACACCTTCTGGCCAGCACACCTTACATTATTAATGCCACTCCTAACACACAATTGAGCTGAATTTTGTAAACGTCATCTACTCGATCTAACCAAAATCTCCCTGAGTTCTGAGCGACCCAAGAGCTGTAACTCCCACTCCTGTCCAGAACGAAGAGCCAAGACACCAAAGCAGTGCTTACCCCGGGCTATTTTATTTACAATATGTACAGTTCCTACAGAAAACGATTGCTCACAGAGGATTTCACACAGCAACCCCCCGGCGTGGCTCCGATGGGCGCTGCCGCCAGCGCAGCCCCGCGCTCCGGGGCCGGGTGGGGACGCCGCTGGCACGGGCGGGGACACCGCTGGCACGGGCGGGGACACCGCTGGCACGGGCGGGGACACCGCTGGCACGGGGACACCGCTGGCACAGGGATCCTGGAGGAGCTGGAGGGCAGCAGCTGAGGTAGATCCGGGGTGCGGGAGGCGCTCGCTCTGCTCGTCCTGCCCGGGTGGCTGTGCCAGCCTGGGCCAGCCTGGGCGGGTGAAGGGGCTGGGGCTGGCAGCACTCTCTGGTCAGCAACTCTCACTGGTGTGATCTGCTCAGATTGCACAGAATGCTTTGGACTCCTTTAGGATAAAAGGCACTATGTAAATCTACAGGAACCACGCTCTGTTTTGCTAGGGAGAATTTGGATGGGCTGTTAACATGTTGTTCTGATGCTGTGTACCATGAAATTACATCCTTATTGCTTAATACTTATATTACCATTACCTTAATTTAATGCATTCACTGTCTACTATCCAGATAATTCCAAAATCTAAATAAAGAAATGGAAAGCATGGCAATTTTGAAGAATGTATTTTGTAAATTTTTTTCAATGAACTAAACAAACATACTGCACCTGAGAAACCCTCCTGTCCTCCTCTTCATAGGTATTTCCACATTTCAGTAACAAGTTACTTGTGCTCCAAAACATAATCCTTCAGTAATTGAAAACTGCATACGGAATGCCTCAAAGTATGGACATCACCAAACTAGCATAGGAATAGCACAAATACTGAAGCACATAAAATCCAGTCATCTAAAACCCAAAAGGCACCCAAAATCTACTGTTAGCGGCTTTTTCTTCTGAAACAGGAAGGATTACGTTTCTTAAGATAGTCCCTAAAAACTGCCACCATCCCATAAATGAATGTGAAAACTTAGTGACATTCAGATACAAGCTCAATTTCCTATCAGTCTGAACAATGCTAAATAGAATTAGGGCTTACTACTGCTGACCAGAGCCTCTGATTCACAGGAACAGTTTGGAAACCAATCCTGACATTTACTGAAAGCCTGCAGAGACAATCCAAGTACCAGTAAAACCAGCCCTGGGATGGTGCAGTTGTCACCAGCCTGTGGAAATGCAAAGCAAAGGAAAGCTTTCTCACTTAAGGCATGCCAGATAAGCACTTCCCTCTATGCTAACCTACACACACAGACAGCAAAACAAAAGTAAACAACTAGTTTGCCCTGACTGGAAATAAGAGACAGTTAAAAGCACTGCAAGAAACAAACTAAAACAAGAATCAAACATTCCTAGAACTTGCACCTTCTGTTTTGGTTATGAATACAGGGAACACGTTACAGAGGGAATCTATTACTCTATGAAGTGACCTTACCTTTAGAGACTCCAGATTTCACTTTACACCATTTATAATATTAGACTTGAGAATCTGGACCACAAATTTTTTTACAGGCAGGCAGAGTCCAGTCTACCACAAAGACTCTACTACAAGCTTTACAAACAAACTAGTAAAATAATTTTTCCATTTGTCTTTTTTGTACATGGCTCCTTTCCTGGAAAACCTTTTATTTGTTAAGCTCAAATGTGACTAGTTAGGATGTAAAAAAACCAAACCCCACAAAAACCTCCAAACCCCAAAACTATTAAACAGAAACCCCCACAAAGTTTCCCCAAAACAACAAATGAGAATTATACAATTGTCAACACTTAAGGAAAAAGAAAACCACACCTTTAGCAAAATCTCATTAATGAAAACGTTTCCCAAAACTCTATTTCCAAGGAGAGGAGAAATCTTCTTCAATGTCCATGTCATCACTCATCAAAAAAAATTTTATAGAAAATTTTATTCAACATACAACATTTTCCAGCAAAAAAAGGCAATATACAGGAAGAGGAGTTGTACACTGCGGCTACAGAAACAAAATAAAATACTGGAAAAGAATGTAAAATTAAGTGTGAATTGCTGATTCTATCTTTACTGCACTCAAAACTAGACACGCGGCTGGCATTAGCTCCAAAGAAAAGGAAGCAGTCTGGGGACTGAAATAAAACTACACACAATGAATATCAACATCAGTGAAATTCACTTGCAGACTCACCCAATAAAATTAACCTCCAAGTGTTAAATTGTACATGTTCATTCATTAAATATACAATTGCTTTTTTCAGTTTTTTTTTCTTCTTTTTTCGTTTTTTTTCCTCCTTTTTTATACAAAGTCAACAGCTTACTAAACACTAGTGAGCATGCCCTCTGTGCTAAAAGGCTAGTTCTTGTGTTTTCCCCATCTCTTCCCATGGTAACTAAATTAATGATATTTATAATCTTTTCACTTGCTTTTGCCAACTTTTGAGTGTCATTCTATTTGCCAGGAGATGGCATAATCAATCACAACGGTATTTCTCAGTGGTTGGAAATTTCATAAAAAGACCCAAATATCTCTTTTTAGGACTCGGGGCATCCACTTGGTAAAACGGGATGCACAGTATTGACTAAATTAAATGAAAACTAGTTTATTAAAAAAGATTCTATGAAGCTGGAGGAGACAAAAATCCCGAATAAGTGCCAACAATGTACACAATAAAGTAGAGATTGCTATTTATTGATGATGTGAGTTTTTCTTTTGCATTTACAAATGCACAAAAATGTCATTTAAAGTATAACTGAAGGAAATAAATCTGATGTGAGTCTAAACATAAGACTTACTAGCTGCAGTGATGGTGAACACCACATGGGAAGGGCAGCCAGTCAGCTTATGCCATCTATAAACGTACTACAGACAAATAATTTTGCCAATGTCAACTGTTCTACTAAACTCTTCCCTCATTATGCTGACAATTGCCTTGCATTACGTTTACCATAAAATAACTCTCATTGGCATCCAAGCTTTTATAAAAACACCTTCATTTTGCTCAAAAAGGGCAGTCAATAGATACAGAGAAGCCAAACTGAACAGCCTCAACAAAATAAAATTAACATCAGCAGCAAATCCTCTTGCTGAAGACTTCAGATATAGTGCACGTGTACCAAAGTTCTACAGTTGTTAAAAAGGTGCACACACACACTTATTTTTGTCCCTTGCCTTGACAATCTGGTTAAGTAAGTCAGTTATGGATTTTAATAGCTTTTTCAAGGTAAGTGTAGCGACTTCTCTTTGGGGCTTTATTGAAATGGTCAAGCCCTAGCCATGGCCTTGGATGAGACATGTTGCCTAGAAAAGAAAAGAGAAAAAAATAATGAAGTTTTAAGACTAAATTGGAAAAATGTTTCCATTACACAACCTAGTCCTGTGTGCCCTGCCCACAGTGTCCACAGGGAGGGCAGAGGAGTGCACAGCCAGAGGGGCAGGGTTTTCATTCCAGCAGCACATTCACAGCTCCTTCTGCAGCAGGTACCTGCTTTTTGTCTTCTTAGTCACCTACAGGACTTCACAGCAGTGAAGGCTGTGCTAAAGCAAGATAAGCACTGTTATGGCCAGAGGCACATCACAGTACCAGCTCTCACCAAAGTGCTGAGCCTGTTTCAAACAGGGAGGATCTGCCATTGAAACAGTATTTGACAATCAACAGTATTTGCCATAAGCTCTGCTATCCCTATCATCTGGTTTTAGTGGAAATATCTGTTTAATTCATGTAAAATGCAAATAATGCTAATTAAGAAATCATGAAACTGACCCTCCTCTTTATTTTCTAAGAAAAAACCCTAGTCACTTAGATTGCAAAGAAAATATACAGATTTTTTTTCATTTGTTCAACCCAATATTATTTATTCTACTGCTAATTTTAATGAAAAACCATAGTCTACATACTTCTTGCAAATGGGAGAAATTCTCTTTTAAGATGTTCTCAATGCAGAGCATCAATATTCTTTGAAGTGAAATGATAAAGGCAGAAACTAAAGAGGCCCCCAGCAAGGAAAGTACATTCTACATTCAAAGCCATCAGCTGCAACCACTAAAGCATAAAACATGTGACCTTGTTGGTTGCCTGCATCTGCATTTTGTGATATATTTTCTTCAATCAAAATTATTTTGGGGTTTTTTTTTCTTGTTTGACATAATGGTCAATATCAAATTAAAAGAGAACTGCCAATCTTAGTGGGAGAATTTGAATGTTTCTGAAGAAAGAAATGAGATCCTACATGGCTGGTGCCAGCACAGTCACAGCTATACTTGGTGTACCTTGGCAACAGCAGAGGGACACTACTGACATCAGCTACACCAATCAAACTGTGCAGTGCCCCAGCTTTGGTTCCATCAGTCCAGTGTGTGCTAAAAGCTGGCATTTGTAGAAATTAATTCTATCAAAGCAATATTTTCTCACAGGGGTGAATTCCATGAACTCTCAAATAAAACCTTTTGCTCTCACATTCCTTACAATTCCTACAAACAGTTCAAGCTCTCCCTTCCCCACATTCTGTGCCTCTGACCTGGTCACTGGTTGGTTTTTCAAGCTGTTTTGGCACCACTGGCTCTGCCTTGCTCACCAAGGCCAGCAGCTCATTCCAGACTATTGCCTTTCCCTCCCTGACCCATGAGGGATGGATAAAATCAGGACTCTGCCTGCTCTGACCACAGCAGAGAGAGTTTGTCTGTCTGGAGAAATGCCCACCTCCAAGCTGACCATCCAGAGAGCCTCCACCAGCAGTGCCCAGAGGTGACTGTGACACACTCCTGGGCTCTGGGGTGACTTGTGCAGCTGCAGACACTCAGCTCTGGAAGCCAAAGCCTGCCTGTGCTACCCACACAACAAAAGGACTGTTTGCTAGGCTCCTGCAAGTAATAACACATGTCTAACTCTCTGCAGGTTTTGAAATAAATGGACAGTTACAGGATTTCTTTACAGCTGTTACACCAAACCAGAGCACAGCTGGGGAAAAATGGAGAAAGCTCAACCCTAGCAAAACCTGCCAATAAAAAATCAGAATTCCTAATTGTCAGAAAAACAGAACTGCAGAGAGTCAGTGCAACTCACAGAGAGGAACACTCAGCTAAGCTGGCAGAAGAAACCCCAGTGAATTCAAGGGTTTCAATGGATCCCTGATTGTGGATGCAAAGGTGCCATTCCCAAATAGAACTCTCCAAAGAGGAACAGGAGAGATTTGGATTTAGAAGCACTGCTGCAGGTTGCCCAGAGGAGCTGCAGCTGTCCCAGCCCTGGAAGTGTCCAAGGCCAGCTTTGATGGGGCCCTGTGTGACTGGTCTGGTGTGTGGCATCTGGCAGCAGGCTGGAATGGGATGATCTTTAAGGCACCTCCCAGCCCAACCCATGCTATGGCTATGAAAACACTCCTGTGGTGGAACACCTGAAGGATTAACCTGGTTTCTCCCATGTGTAAATATGTAAGAAAACAGAGGTTTAAATGTCAGTCAGGTAAACTAGATGACAGCCAATCCAGAGACAAATTTAGAATGGAGCTGAATTTGTACCTTGGTGACTCATTTCTTATGGAAAAAAAATCTAAACAGCATCTAATTGACATATTTAATGTTCTTATTAGAATCTTCAGATTCATTGAGGATACGAAGAATAAACAAGAATCAAATATGCAAGGGGGCAGATGAACAATAAAGACAAGGTCCAAGTGATGCTGTAAAGTGTGTTATACTGACACTGGACCCATTTGGTGATGCACATGCAATCTCTGAACTCAAAAGGAAACAGATTATTTATCTATATGCCTATAAAATACATTTTCTTGGACTAACACATTCATGTAACACTGCTCAGTGTGCACACTGGTGTATATAAATACTTGCTTGGTCACTACATCTCATGTAATTCATGCTAAAAGAACAAACTCTTCCTGCATCCTGAGTTAAGGATGAACACATTATAACAAGTGGCAGAGCAGCTTCAGCAGGCCAAAAGAAAAGTGAGGTTGTTTGACAACTTACCAGGTTGGGACTCAAAATCTTTCAAGTTCACTTCATACTCATCTTCATTGAGATACTGGTGTCGGCCCATCATTACAATGGCAAATTTAAACTGTGCAAAGAAAAAAAATACTCAAAAACCAAGTGGTAGGATATGACACTAAAATTAAGTCTTCAAGCCTAAGTTCACAGTCTAACTTGCAGCTGGTTATAAGTAGAAAACTTGTAACTTCAATTTATAACTTTCAGTTTCAGGAATTGAAAAAGGCCAATCCTGGTTAAAACCCTCATCAACAACCTGGATAATGGGACAAAATAAATGCTCAGGAAGTCATGAACCCACATCCTGCAATACTGTGTCCAGGTTCAAGCCCTCCAGGGAAAAAGACAAGGCAACAAACTGCAGCAAGTGCAGCAACAGTCCAGTGAGGCTGTGAGAGGACTGGGGGGAGCCTGGCATTCAGGAACCTCTGGGAAATGGCTTCTGCTCAGCCCAGAGAAGAAAAGGCTGACAGGATATCTACAGTTTTCCACCACCTGGAGGATGGTGCACAGGAGCAGGCTCTTCTCAAAAAACTGCACAGAGGTGACCTCCACAAGTTGCAAAATGAAACATTCTGATTATTTGCATTTCCTTTGCAAGGAAAGCAAAGGCTTCCCAGTGATAGTGGAATACTCTAAAACACAGTGTCCAGAACAGGGCAGAATTCCCACCCTTGGGAGTCTGCAAATTGCAACTAAAAAGCCCTGCACAACCTGACTGAGTCACGTTCTGCTCTGAACAGGAATGTGATCTGGGGGTGGCTTCTAAAGGTCCCACACCAGCTACACTTTTCTGGGTTACTTTGTTTTGCAGAATATTTCTCTTGATGCAGTACAGAAATACTGATCCTACCCATTCTAACTAATTAGTCCTAGAAAAAGCATTATTTCAGTCAGGCAGCTGTTCTATCCCACAAAATCTACACTTATCCCAAGTCTGGGGTGTTCCAACCTACTACAATAAACTCATTTAGGGTTTACAGTCAGCAATAAAAACTCTCCCAGTTTGAAATTACCTTCTCAAATTCTTTTTCTTGTATGTCCAGCATTGTTTGAATCCGCTTCATAACCTCTCTGAAGTGTTCACCCTAATAATTACAACAAGATTTTTAATGTCAAAAAAATCTAGGAAAAAGAAAGGAAGCTGTTAGTATCTCCTGCTTTAAACTTCATTGAAATAGACTGCCTCAATGTCTCTGCTATTTACAAAATTACACAAGTGTCAACATCATTCTCTACAATATGGAACAACAGCAGGCAACTTGCTCTACATTCAGAAACTTTAAGTTTATTGATCTATCATTATGCAAACTGCCCCATAAACTGGTCAGGCACTGCCACTGATATGTGCAAGTCAGGTTAAAGTAGCAAAATCAGAAAATTAGCAGCAAAATAGGAATTTGTAAAAAAACCCCATATTCTTGCTAAACTTGTTGCTACTTTTTGAATGTTTCTGCTCCCTGTCTATGTAAAGTGCCCAAAAAAGTGACAGATACTGTCAACTTAAAGATGAACAAAATATATTAACTGTTGGAACAAGGAAATGCAGAACAAATGGTTTTCACCAAAAATCACCAAACAACTGTTACTCTCTGATCAAAAATATGGAAATTAGTAAAATTATAATTTTAGAGATAGAGAAATATGGACACAGTTCTCATTCCCAAATTTTTAAAGTACATAATTTTCATACAAAGTAACATACATGAACCAGAAAAAGCTTAGAAGGAAATGGTAACTGCTCCCAGAAATACACTTTGATATTAAGAGAATCAGGGTGACATTCAGCTGGAGCAGCACCACAGGAAAAACTTGAGAATTTAAATTAAGCTTTCAAAATTAGCTTTTGTTCTTGTACCAACTTTCAGCCCTAGAAGATAAAGCACATCAAATTACAGAAGGGATGAAATGCAAAGTCATCTCAGAAAGTGATGGAGAAAGCGACCCCATTTTCCATAACCCTGTCTCAGTGAGAGCAACCATGGCAGGGCCACTTTTGCCAACAACTCTGCACTGCAGGTACTCAAGTGCTGTTGGAAATAGGGTTCTGCTTTGTTGGGGGCTTCTGCAGGGGGCAGGGGATGGCAGCTGCTGCCAAGTGACAGCTTTCTAGGTGTTCACAGGCTCCCTGAAACACTGAACAACCTGGATATGCAAAAGGAACTGAGCTGGGAAATGACTGAACCATAAAAAGGCACAGATTGGGCAGAACCTTTGTGTTTTCCTACTCACTTCATACATGAATGCATTTCTTCAACAGTATTTATAGAAAACATCATCAGTATAATCCCACAGAAGAAAAAGGGAGGGATACTGCACCTGGTGTATCCTCAGCAAGAATGGAATTCCAAATGTCCCGAAAACCTCTTTGTGGAAATGTGCCACTGTGATTAGCATCTCATTTTCTTTATCTATATCTACCTGGTCCAGAGGAATTTCCTAGATCCAGACAGAGAATTGTGACTCCAATCAGCTAAACTTGCACAAAAAGAAACTAATGCTTGAAGTTATTTTTCTAGTTATTAAGAAACTGAAAGCATTATTGATGTACAGTTACTGATTTCAAACAATTCTATTCAAAAACAATTAAAAGAGCCATGTTGTTTGACAGTGTTTTACCAGAGTCCCTCATCCCTGGCATGACAGCACTTCAGCTTCCCCTACTCAGGAAATATTCTCCTGGCTTCCCTGAATGGCTTTTTTGACAAGAAATCTTCTATCAGTGCAGAACTAGCTGACAGTAACACAGGCCTCTTGCCAGCTCCTCATTACAGTGTACACTGGAAACTTTTTTTTTCATTTCTGATCTTTGAAGCAAGTTAGTAGATCTAAATGATGAGATGTTTAGAAAAAACAAATCACATGTTAAGTATCAAATTTGCTTCAAGAACCTCAAGTGTAACAGAAATGGAAACAAAACCTTCTAGAATATTACAGCACAAAAGTGGGTTCTAAGCATAAACACTTCTATCATTAACTCTCAAACAAACCTTGGAATTACTGCCAAGACATTAAATGTCCTTTGGACAGGCTCTTGCAAAGTCTTCACGTATTGTTATAAAAACATTTGTAAAAATGAAATAATGAAACCATTATAGGGAAACAGATGGAACAAAGGATGATCTCTTTAAAAGCATTATCTTAAAATAAATAAATAAATAAATATATATAATATTATCATGTAATCTTAATACAAACATCACAGTATTTGAAGAAAAAGAAAATTACCAGTTGAAAGAGTTTTCTCTCTCCAAGTCAGGTTTTAAAGCTTCTCTAAGACAAGCACAACTTACCTCTATTCGAAACGTTCGACTTGTTGCAGGTGACAAACACTCTAACAGCTCATCCTCCTGATGGACACCAATTATTTTGTAACTTACAATTTCTAGCAGCCTTAAAGATAAACAGAAAAGTATTTTTTAAAAGTGAATTTAAAAAATTCAATGCAGATTTCTTTCTCAAATCTTAAGAGAGATTAGTGTAGAATATACACGGATGCTGCTATTGTATTTATAAAATTCTAAATTCAATCTTTAGTAAAAATTAAGCAGTAAAGTCATAAGAGGGTAAATTATTTCTGGCTCATGGCAAAAAGCTAGGATGTGCCATTACAAAATATAGGTTTCTAGTGGAGATTATTTTATATATCCTCTTTAAATGACCTCACTTTTAACCCCTGTAACTCCTGAGAAGTGAATAGCATGAAATGCTTGGATTTGAAACAATTAATAAGTCATGACTAAAAAATGCAATTGATGAAACTCAAGGATGTATTTATTAAATACAAAATAAATAACTGTGTAAAATTATATTTATAGTTAAGAAGAACTCTTAACAGTGACAATCTGGAAGATTTTAACACAATATTACACTTCATCTGTTAATAATGGTATCTACAGTATTTTAAATTCTACAGACACTTTGCTGCATAAAATCTACACGTTGACATAGAAGAAATCAGAGTCTTCCAGCTTTACCTTAATTTCCCTGAACCTTTTTCAGAGAGTTCTACAACTTTTTTACATTCTTCTAACAGGTCCCGCACACACCCATGCTTATCTGGATATACTGTTATTTCCTGTGGAATTTGAAACACAAAAATCATTAGAAAAGCTGAAAAAGTAAACAACCACATTAAAGCACAGAACACATTGGATTGTTCCCCTTAACCACCCATCTTGAAAAGATAACTGAAGTCAACACCTATGTCATCTTCAACATTTCTGTTAAGGAATGTGATTTTTTTTTTACCATCTTTTTGTGCTCTTTGGGGTTTTTTTGCTGTTGTTTTCATTAGGTTTTTTTACATCATGTACAGCTTTGTTCTAATTCTCAGGGGTTGCTCAGGGGGAGACCCATATCCACAGCCATAACAGCTCTGACACAGAAATAACAGCAAGTGTGTAATGGCTTCACTCACCTCTTCCCTAAACTGGCTATTTAGCCATATGCATTTAAAACTTCTTCTGTTTTCAAAATCAGTTATCTTCATTTTGAGCTAAAGAAATAAAAGAAAAACACTTTAGGCATACTTTGAATAGGGCAGAATTATTTTTCATAACTCACCCCAATAAAAAGAAGAGACTCTTACCTGTTGATAGTAGAGTTTTTTCGGTTGCCTAGGCTTGAAGAACTGCAGAAGATCTCTTAAAGTACCTTCATAATTATGTCTAAGAGGATTACCAGGGCCATCCCTATAACTACAGAAAGAAAGAAAACACGTTCTTAAAATCCATCTCTTCAAAATCCATTACTGCTCAGCAAATTGAAGCACCAAGAACATTTTTATTACTGGCTTTCAGTTTCACATAATTGCTAACACAGCCTAAGCAGCACAACACCCAGAACTTTAGTGATTTTTAAACACAGCTGGGCTGTGGGAACAGAAAACCATTCAGGGTGTGTGTTAACTCTCCTGGATGTTTACAAGCTCACTGATGTCAGTGCTGCAGGCTGGCAGACCTACATTCCTCTGAAATTACTGGCATAGCAGCACATGCTTTAGATTGTGAAAGGTTAATTTGTGGAGCCATATGACACAGCAAATTCCACAGTGACCACAGCACTGCAAACTACAAAGAGCTACTCAGATTCTCACTGATGATGAAGGGAGATAGCCTCAGGTAACTAAAGAGCATTTACACTTCCATGAATACAGAGAGCTGTAAGTTTTGTGTGTGCATTATTCCTGAAGCACATACACAGAGCTATAATACACTACTTTCTGCTCTAGTTTTATACAGATTCAAGACTAGTTTTACATAAACATGTGTAAAACCACCACTTTAACCAGAAATATCCCTTTGAGCAACTGAGAACTTGTTAGATTGTTGTCATCTTCATAAAACCTCATTTGCAGACTTTGAGGGAGGAGAATTCAGTGAAGTAACTCCTGCATTTAAACTTGCAAAATCAGCAAAAATACTGCTTTTATGTGCATTTGTTTCTGCTCTCCTCCACTCTAGAAATCTGCATTCACTGAAACAGCACTTGAATTAGCTTAGCAATTTATCCCACAGCACCAGGCTTTGAAGTAATTAATGATTTTTAAAATGACATTTACTAGAACTCTTCTAAAACATGCAATTCTTTGAGGCTCTAGAGACAGACATTGCAATACTTCAACTGTCAAAGCAACCTGCTGTGCTTGCCAGAAAGGTAACATCTTACTGGTACAGAATTAGTTAATGACCTGGAAAAGGCTAATTTTTGAGGAGCAGCTTAGACAAAGAATACTAAGGAATTTGTCTTACCCTTGGGACTTGAAAAATTGTAATAGCATTGGATCCGTGTTAAGTCTCTGAGCGACTGTCTTTGCAACCTGAAAATAAATTTTTGGTAAGTTCTGAATTGTTTCACACAGTTATGACATTGCTCTACAATCATACAGTCATTATTTCATGAGACTGTAATTTCCCTGATAGAGCAGAATGGTCTACAAAGAAAGAATCCAATTATCAAATAACTAATTTTTAATAATACTGGGGGGTTTATAGTATTTTTTCCCCACAAGCCTTAGTGTCTTCCTTAAATTTTTCATCTAAAATGAAATCTACACAACGCAAAAAACACAGGCAGTTTAAGAACTTTTAGAAAAGTATGTATAATGCATTTGTGAGCCAGTGCAAAAATTCCTTTCCAAACAGGGAAACAAAAGAGAAACAGGAGACATGCCTGAAAGTAATTCATCCTATTGGATAAAGTAACAACAAAGCCTGGGTCATTGGGGATGGTTTTGTCACAGAAAATGACATCCACACGGTGATAGAGGTCTCGGAAGTATTCCTTAGCTGTGGGGAGCTCGCTGTTATCATTTTCTGGGTCATCCCTACAAGAGCAAACAAATGGTGATACCATTACACATCCCATTGTTACACACACAGGCAGCTGGAGCTTTAAAAACATGTTCTACAGTGAGTCAGCAACAGTGAAGAGATACAGAGATGAAGTTTAGAAACCTTCTGCAAGAGCCACCGCTGGCACCCAGTAGGACTGGTGCAGTCAGCAGTGACCCAGAGCCCGCCGTGGCTGTGTGCTGCAGCCCTTGCCTGCTCTGCTGGGCTCCTGGGGGTTCACAGCACCACTGCAGCAGGAGCTGGCCCTCCCTCCCACCCTGCACATCCCTGTGTGTCTGTACTAATGCTGCACAGCTTTCCATGAACCCCTGTATCGACTGCTTTGCACAGAGGACAGATGGACGGCATTCCTTGGCACAGAGAGGCAGAACAGTGGGCACAGGGGCTGGTTTGGGTCACTCCTGACTGGTACCCCAACTTCTCTGCAGAGAAATAGCACCAGGGTACAAGCTGTGCACTTACCCAGGAGTCAGCAGCCAGCCAAGGGTGCATAACACCAACTGGGTCAACTGGGACTGCGAGTTCCAAGGCATGACATGAGAAATACATTCATCTCACATAATCTGGGGTAAGAGTGCTGAAGATAGACTAGCTGGCTTCCACCCACTGTCAGCCCATGGAGAGAAACAGAGCAACACAGTTGGGTGTGACCATCAGGAGTGAGAGCATAGAAATGCTGATTTATAGCCCTGCCAAGCTTATGAAAGATCCCTTCATTGGATACAAGATGCAGGAGCTCCCCTTTTGCCTTGGAGAAATCTCCAGCTGAAGCACCAGTACACCTAGGAGTGGCACCTCAGGCAAACTAGGAGCATCTCATCACTGCAGACCAGTAAGGACCTGGCTGTGAGCACAGGGGAGAGGCAAAAAGGGAAAGCAGTTCAGTGTAGTTCTGGGCTGAAAGAGCTCCAAGAGCCTTGTCCAGTGGCCATGGTATCTGCAATGCTGGAAGGCTCTTCAGTATCTGTGTTACAGTGGCTCCAGTACAAACAAAGCTGCACAAATCAGATGCATTGCTGAACACACTCTGGTAATATTATGAACTATTTTACGTTACTGGTTTTCTAAACTAGGAGGACACCTGTTCCTTAAGTAATGTGGCACATGATACCCAAACAGGACTGATATTTGCTCATTTCCCCTTTGAATAAACAAATGAGAACTGCAGAGAACACATCTACTATTGGAATGTAATACTTAGCTCTTGATAAAAAAGCTTAAAGGAAGTTCAGCTTTCAAAGTGATTTTTTCAGGTGATAAAATTGCAATAAGGTGCCCCCTTACAATACATACTTCTGAAACACTATGATGTCACCATCCATGAGTTCATCGAGAGCTTTATCAAGAGATACATCATAGTCTTGAATCCTTTCTGTTAAATTGGGTTTAACTTCCTGCAACAAAGACCAAAAATTATTGATCACAAAATAAAAGGCAAAAATAAATGTCACAAATAAGTCACCATAGTGAAGAAATCATCAGCTAAGGTAACCTGTACATTCTTTTAACTGAAACAAATGGATAGATGTGTATCTATTCAAATTCAATGCATGTATTATTAAATATCTATATGCATATTACATATTTATACTTGCAGGCTGAGCTCTGGGCTGACCCAGGGATAAAAGCACCTGTGCAAACAAACTGGAATGGCACTGTAACCCTGGCCTGCCCAGAACAAGTACAGCTTTGCTTTCTAGGATAGCTCTGTGTGTGCTGCCCTGGAACCACCAGAGAGAGCAGCAGGACTGCTACCAGAAATTGCAGCAAAAACCAAATTCCTTGTTCTTACTCTAGCAAGGACTTGGCCTTGGCAAGATCTGCATCATCAGCACTCAATAAATGTAGCAGTTATGAAGATTCACTGCTTTGGGCAGAAACAGCCTAGCAGTGTTTGCTGGCTTTGGCTTGGGAAAGGAAGGAGAAGATGCAACATTTTCTCAACCTCACTAAGGTGGGCACTGAAAACACAATGGCCAATAATGTGAGCAGCATCAGCTCTTCTAACTCAGCAACACAAGTCTAAGCACATCAAAGCTGCTCATGTAGGACTCTCATGGAGACAGTTTTTGGTTTTAAAGCTTTACACTTCTTTCTGTTTAATATAAAATCTGTTTTTAAGTTAACTCTCTGCTGCTACTCTTTTGCAGCACTGTAGACTTCAAAGTTACAGATTACAGTATGGATAATTTATAAATTACCATTGTTATGAGCAACTTTTTAAAATTTTTTTTTTTCTTTACAGCATGCAAAAGACAAAAAAGTTACAAAAAGTCTATCAATCCAAACCTCATAGAGGATAAGGTTAGTTTCTTGTGGAAATCCTGCTCTCTCACACATAACTGGAAGCAAGTCACCTGTTGGAGAAAAAAGAAGGAATGTGAAATGTGTAGCACTAATTGCTAGTGAGACCAACCACAGAAAGGAGACAATCCCTTTCTTTACCCTGGGTAGGTGGTAAAGATGCCTAAGAAAGAGCCTTCCTTAAGCTTCCCTTGTTGACATTCAACCAGACACACATTTATGGTTCCTTTCCACTTCATCTGAACAACAAAAATATGTGCGAGTTCACTGAAAATCCAAGAGATTAAATAACACTGCTCCATCCCCAGAAAAAAGGTTTAGTATCTTCAAAAAACCCCAAAAACTAGCTAAAATATAGAATTAAAATATGTATAGGTTAACAAATGAGACATTCAAAACAAAAAACAAAAATATTTTTAGTCAGTGGGTATTTGCTGAATTCCTTAAATGGACCCATATGAAAATCCAGGCTCACACACAATTCAGGCTGAGCAGCTGCTCAGGCTGCCATAGTGAAAGGCTGTAAAAGAGTTGCATGAAAAGCTGTTGGGAGGGAAATATCACATCCCAAAGCTTTACAACAGGTCTGAAACAGCTGTAACACCTGGTGAGTACAGCAACAATGCACTGACCACCTGTGGGGTTTTGAGGCTCAGACCTGCAGAAAATGTCACTGGCACCACATGGGGGAAAAAAATAAGGATTTGCTTCTCTGGTGTAACTTTGGTTTCAGTGATGGAATTATTATGAAAGGCAAAGTATGTGTCAATCTACTTTTAAAACTTAATGATCAGAATGAAATTGAAATTCAGAACTCACGTATTTTACAGGATATAGGGGTGTAGATATGTCCACAATAATTCAAACTCCGAGTTTTCGGATCATACATCTTCAAAAACAACATTACATCATCTACAAAGTAAAAAACAAGATTTAATTTTAAGTAAGGCTTGGGGAGGGGGAAGGAGATCACCTAGATCTTTTTATTTACACAAGAACAAATATGTGTCTTTATTATCAGTGCCCTTAAAATATAGAGAGAAAATTATTCAGTGAGTTTAGAAACATGCAAAGCATGCCTTCCACTTCAAGAGAAATGAAGGAAAAACTGCATGAGAAAAACTAATTTCAGTCCTGTAGTAGTTTGATGGATACATCAATGACATTGTTGAAGAAAAGGAGTGCACAGTGTTTTTGGAGATACACCCAACATAAAAGCATTTTGTATTTTACAAATGTTTAGCCCATATGCTTACGATCTTTATCAAATTTGGGTAATGTTGCTCCAGTAGCAGCCATCTCTGGATCTACTGTTTCCAAAAATATTGTCCATGGATTCTCATTGTCACTGAGCTCAATCATCTATGTAGAAAGAGAGAAGAAAAAAAAGTCTCTGAAGAACTTAATACAACCTGGTATCAGCATTTTAATCAGATTCAAGAACTTTATGACATTGTACAAATGGGAGAGGCTTTTTTTTTTAAGTTGTGTTAAAGGAAGTTTATGAAATTTATTAAGACAAACAAATATGGATATAAAACAACCAAAAACTTTGATGAAGCAGTAACAGTAGGTTTTACTTAAAATGAACCCACTTCTTTATCTTTCACAAGTTTACCTACAGCTGTCTTTATAATGGCAGGGACATGACTCAATTTTAGAATAAAAGGAAGGTGAAACCATCCTGTGGTATTTAGACACATTTTACATTTTAAGCAATAGAATTCCTTAAATCCAGAGGGTTTACCCCTTTTGTCAAAGGGAAATTTCTGTTTTAATCTACTGTAAGAAATCATGATTACACCTTTTTTTCCACAGCAGAAAAAATATGCACCAACAACACTCCTGCTTCCTATCCAAACCAATCCAATAAACACCAAGTCTTCCCCAAGTATCAAACTTCACCAGATACACTGAAATGAATTTTAAATTAAAAGCCTGAAAAATCTTATGTCTCACAGTTAGATATTCTTCAGGAGAACTAAGAATCTCAGGAGATGTAAGAAGTACTATCATCTCTCAGTGACTGCTTACCGTTTTATTGCCATCTGCTTCATTATCTAACATTGCAGGTCTTTTTGTTCCATTACTTCTAGCTTGCATTGGCCATAATCTGATTTGATCCTGGGGAAATCCCTAAAAAAATAAAAATTGTGACAGGAAACTAAATCAAAACAAGAGAAAAACAGGCTAAGATATTTTCATGAAACTCAAACAGATATTTTGGTTTAAAAGTTCTAAATTGCGATTGCTGTCAATATGTGGAGAAGGTAAGAGCTAGAACACAACCATAATGTAACAAAATAAATACATGCAGGTATTCAGCTACAGAAAACTCACCATTGTTTGAGAGAGGTTTTGAACAAATTCTGTAAGTGTGGAGTTTTTTAATACTTTGAAAACAGTGTATTTCACTTTTTCTTCATCATACATATCATTGCCTTGGTGACCACAGAACTGATCCTCTGCCACTATCTGAAAAATGACATTTAAAGGTTACTTTTCAGATTAGCCCAGGTAATACCTTCTCAGGATGCTTTACTATGCAACCTCCCTGGCCCTCTGGCACAGTGCTAACACAATTCATGTTCTCAGGGAACAAATTTGCAAGAACACAGATTACAATGAAATTAAAAAATCGTGATTGATAATCTCATCAGTGCAAGTAACTAAAATACATTAATTCTTACAAATCCCGAGCAATTAAAAACCAGTCGTGCTTAGATCCCAAGTCTTGGAATGTGCTCTAACAATCCTGACACTTGGAGAAAATAAAAAGGCTACATAATTCTGTGACTGGGGAATGCAAGGAGGCCACTGAACCCTCTCCCTGTACTTCCCACAGCTCCCCTGCACTCTTTGGTAACAGAAGCACAAACAGTGCAATGCTGCCAGTGTCCCACTGCAAACTCAGTGCAAATGCAGGGCAGAACAAGCTGGGCCTGACCAGTATCTCTGCTTATCAACACCAGAGAGAACAGGCAAGGAAACATGGAGGCACATGGAAAATGGGTTCTATTTCCCTGTGCCAGATGGGCTCTGGAAAGTGCCATAAACAGGGTTTCTTAAGGCAATTCATAACAATCTTGTCCATCTGGCTTTTCCAAAAAGATAATTGCAAATATAAACACTCTCTCCTCCTGCTTCTACTTGATGAGCTCCATTTGGCAATAGTCCAGACCTGCAGCCTATGGCTAGATACATTCTAATTTTAGAAAATAATTCCTGAAGGAGATAAAAGTGCAGTGGCAGGGCAGCCATTTGAAATAACCTGGTCCTTCTCCCTTTCACCTGAACTTACTGTATTTACTCACAAGCATAATAAATTCTAAAGAAAACAGAAATGTTTATAACATACAATACTGTGTGTTTTATTACAATTTGTTGCATATGTAAATATACCTAAAAGCACTAAAATTATAATTTCTCTTCAAACGCTACTTCAGAAGAAAAATTAAAAAGAAAAAAAGAAAAGAAAAAAAAAAAGAAAATCAAGGTTTGCCTCCAGGGTGGTTCAATATTCTAAATTTTCATGGTAAAGTAGCTGTAACTTAATCTGGTTCAAAAGCTGACCTGCACTTGCATATAGAGATGAGCTTCCTGCCTCTCCTTCCTCTTCTGAGCTTCTATCCTCTTCTCTTCTTGTAGCCTTTCTACAAGTTGTTGAGGAATATCATGGTCGGTTACAGGCTGCAACACTTCACCTATAAAGCAGATTTTATGATGTTATTTCAAGATCTACATCAAACAGTTTCTTCTTCATACATACTTGACTTCCCTCTGATTTGAAGTCAAAACCAACTTTCCTTCATCTTTCACTTAAAAATATGGTTTGATATCATCATACTTTGGCAAAAGAAGCACTTCTACAACAAACCAAAGTGCACTACTCCCATGAAATATGTATCATAGACTTTTGAATGAAATATTCAGTTCAGAATTAAAAAAATATTTGCCACTACTCCCTTTTTAGAGCATCTATGTATCTACACGTTTACATTCAATTTGATTTAATTCCATTATTGTAAATCAAAGGCGACTCTGACGAAGGGGAGAGAATGATGCATCTGACTCCATCATCAGAAGGCTAATTAATTACTTTATTATACTATAAACATTTCATCTAAACTGAATCTGCCAAGCACTCACTCTGCACACAACTGCTCACACTGCACTGAATCTTGTGACTGTCACCTGACAGTCCCAACACACACAGAGTTGGCCCTGTTAGTCCAAGGAAACAAAACATCCTCACTTTGGATAAAAAATCTCCATATTGCATTCTACTTTGTCACAACACAGGCACAGCAAGTGATAGGAATTGTGGTTCAGAGAATGTGAATCTCAGAAATCCTTGGGAAGAACTGTGCCTTGCTTTTCTCTGTGAAGAGAAATGTGGCAACATTCCATGACCCAAGTCAGTTCACTAAGTCTTCCATCCCATAAAGCAGCCAAGGTTGATGCTCTTTGCAGGTGCCTTACTGAGCTAAAAGGTGACCCAGAGCAGCACACACTCTCCCCAAGTGAGAGAACGGCAGGCTGATCCTGCGGGATCGCTACCTTCCCTCTGTAAATAAGGCAGCCCTGTTGTGCAGGACCACAGCCAACAATCCAGAGGTCAAGCAGCCCTGCCTGCCAGTGCCCTTGGAGCACAGAGAGGACACGTACTGAGCTTGGACTCCCTGATGTAGACCAGCATGTAGGCGTTGGTGCAGTGCCGCACGGACAGGTCGTCGTCGTGCCCGCCGTAGTTGTGCTCGATCGCCTCCTCCTTCGTGCACCTCGACACAACGTCGTCATCGAATTTACACCACTAGGGAGCAAGTTTTACAGAAAGGTGATTTTACACGTAAAAATATGCTCCTGAATGATAAATTAATCCTATTTCTGGCATGTCTTTCAGCTCTTTGAAGTAACTAAAATTACCTTGGAGCGGCGTGACTTTTAAAAGGAAATCTAGTTCAGTATAATTGGTGCTACCTGCTACTTGTGCTCAGCATAAGGAAGTCCATAAATACCAAACCTTTACTGAACATTTTACAGTGAGAATCAAAAGCACAATAATTATTCCAATTATTCCAATTATTTCTTAAGATTTCAAATATCTAATATTTCTGTAGGAAAGAGAAAATTGATTTTATCTGTTGTAAAATGAAATAAAAAGCAGAGATACACAAGACAACCAGTAATTCTTTGTACATGTAGAGCAATATACATCAAATTTCAAATTAAAACAATAAAGTCAATTAAGAATCAATTACAAATAGCAACAAATCCACAGTAAAATCTGACTTCTACTCCTACTGTGAACAATCATGTACACACAAAACCAGTCAACTCAACGGAAGAGGCACCTGACCTATAAATGTCCAATCCAATCAAGTCACCTAAACCTGGAACAGTGGGACATACACAAACATGCTGAACTTCTGAGTCACAGGAACACTGGAAATGCTCATATTTGCTTTAGCAAAGTCAGTCTCAAAAAAATGCTGGATAAAATCTGATTGCAGAACTTCAACACATACAAGAGAAGGGATTTCCTCAGTTAAAAAGTCTTTTGTTAAAAGCTAAGTGTGCATGCACTCTTCTTTTAGGGAAAGAAAATACTGAAGATTTGCCCGTTATAAAAACTGCAAGTATGCATTTACAACACACAAATACTTTTAGATGCTTTTCAATACTCACTTTGCCATCGCCCTTTGGATTTAAGTAAACAACATAATGTCCACCATGGTTATCTCCACTGTGTACTAGAACTGCATGGAGAATGTAATTTGCAGGATCTTTAGGATCTGTTTTTTGCAAAAATTCATCTAGTGGCAACTGTTCAGGAAATTCAAACCTAGTTTCAAAAAGAATGGAGACAATTGTATTTGTAGTTAAGATAGACACACATTCTTAGGCACTATTATGGAACACTATGTGTATTCTAAAGCAAAGAATAAAAATTGAACATGTTACTGTTACAATGCCACTTCTAACCAGGACATGCTGCATACAGTGGCAGAATTTATACTGTTTAAATATGGAATAAAATAAACTTTTCAAGCAGCTCAGGAAAGCATGCCCTCAGTAACAAAGGCAAGAGCACTTCAACTGAATTAGGGCTGGTTTGGATTCACTGTGTCAAGGCAAAAGCTTTAAAATCTGTTATTTTCTAGCAGACAGATGAGCTTCCCTAGCACAGGTACCACTGGACTGGAACATTACTCTGAAATATCTCACCTTGGTGAGAATGAGATAATTGCAATAAACATTTAGTTTACAACCAACCATGTATCTCCTGGAGAAATTATCAGCCTCTGCCTACAGTGAGGGGGCAAATGGCTCTCCATCCATCCATGGAAACAGAGGGAGGGCAAGCAGGTAACTCCTTACTCATCCTGCTTACTCTGGTGGCAGCCTAGCCACACACTGCACAGAGGAGCTACACAAGCCATTAAAAGATGCAGGCACCTGTTCATGGTCAAAACAATCACTATGGATTACTAAACATTCAGTCTGTCATTCTGAACCTCAAAGTTCAACCTGTGCACCTTTAGGGGACCTCTACTGTGTGTGACTGCACATGCCTGCCTCAGAGCTTAGTCAAAAGCAGGATTTTGGGAAGCTATTTTTTGCTAAAATACATTCACAGGTCTAAATTCTCCAAAAAAACCCCAACCCACACAGTAAACCAACCAACCCACTTACCTATCATTTATCTTGATGTTTTGGTCAGTCTGAGGATCATACATAAACCTCATGAGCTGTAGGTGTAATACTGGTGGCAGTGTTAGGAACTTCACACCTTTCTCTGCCTCCTAGACATTTTAAAGGAAATAGAGGGTTGAAATTGTAGGATTTTTAGCAACTCAAAATATTGTTTGTTGCAGACGCTCTTCATATGGACTTTTATAGACTTGACAACACAAAATGCACCAGGAATGGTTCAAAATTTGGGTGCAATTTGAGTATCCTAATGCTGCACCAACCTCCTATGAACTACTCCAGTAACACAAAAATTCAAATTAAAATTAGGCCACTGATACAAGGATATGTGGATGCCTCACTGCATTAAGAGCGAGTTACCTGCATAAATAAAATTGGGAGAATATGGAGGCAAAAGCTCATTTTTGATCAATTAAGAATTTCATGTTCATTGCACCCTGCCAACAAGGATTTGGCGACTGTGCTATACCTTCCTAAGAACAGCTAAAGAATATATAGAACATTACTGACAGAACCTGGTATGTCAAAACTGCAGAAATAAGCTTTAGTAAAACATTATTTATAAAGGACTTCAGTTTACTCCAGTGGGTGCAGCAAAGTGCAACTGAAGAGCTCAGAAACACGTGCACACACATAAATGTTTAATTTCCATGGGTTCATTTGGTTTTCTTGCTGAGAATACAAACATGAGCTCTCCAAAGTTACTTTTAGAGCTATGCTGCTTTTTTACTTGACACATGGAAAAACAAACTACTCATAGAGGAAGAACTTCTCAGTCTTGAGATTGGTGGAAAAGTAAACCATTCTAGCAATGGAAGACTTGGACCTATAAAACGCACTACAAATTAAATTGCTAAAAAATCTGAGCTCCATTTTAAGAAACCTAACACCAAATAAGAGGAGCTATATAAAAATCTTGTCTAAGAAGAAACACCACCAAAATCAGTTGATAAAATCTAGAATGGGTTTTGCAACATTGTTATTTTATCAAAGATAAAGAAATAGGATTTAAAACCTGGTTAAAAAAAAAATAATACCTGCAAGCCATGTTCTCCTGCATCATACTTGTTATCACCATCCAACTGCTCCACTGCAACGTAGTCAATGAAGGACTCAAAAACTGAATGAAAAAAGATTGGGGAATTGTACAGAAGAAGGAAAAAATGTAAATTCACTCTAGCCTACAGTATATAAATCAAACAAAATATCAGTACAGGGGAGTTTGTGTTTGAACGTTTCTGTCCTTACTTTAAGTATAATTTTATATTATTTAAGAATATCAAGAAATGCACCATATTGCAAAGGCATATCTAAGAATTCCAGCAGATTTTAAAATCACACAGCTACAGCTGTCTGCCAGAACTCCTCACTTCACAAGCATCCAGCCAATGTCTCTGTTTGCTGGACTCTTACACATCCTTTCCCATGCCCAGTTACTCAGTAAAGAGATGACAAGGGACCCCTGTTATAAGTAGTTAAGTCTTTTTTTTTCTTATTACTATGGCCAGGTCTAAATAAGAATCTATTTTATCCAAGTTCATCATTATATGTAAATTATAACTACTGTGACAATACCACTGTGATCACCATGGCACAGTCTTATGACACCAGAAAACTCCTGAAGTTCTTAAGAGTTTTATGAAAAGATACCAGTGAGAGAATGAGGGAGAAAGAAGCAGGGAAAGGAAAGGGAATAAGGAAAAAAAAGAAATGTAATGCAGGCAGAAACATTCTCTGCATTGAAAATGTTTTCTATAAGGTGTCCTAAAGCACAGATTTCCAATCACTGTGTACCAACTAACCCAGGTGAAAACAAGAGGCACTGAATTTGTCCAACATGCTGAAGTATTGGATGGGTGCATATCACAATGTATCACTTACTGTTTTTCTTTCCCTTTATACTTAGCTGGATGTCATAATAATCTTCTATTCGTTCAGATCGATAGTCTACGTGCTTGCACTGGATATAAGACTGCAAACAAAACCAAAACAACACAGAAGTTCAGTTTTACAAAAGTAACAAGAACTAATTTAAATTCTTTTTGAGAAAGGTATAAAATACATACCACCATCTTCCCTCTGAACAATTTAGGGATAGTGCCTTCTACACATGTGCCTTTCATTTTATTTTCCACATTATCAAGCAGCTGAAAGAAAAATCAGTTTTCACACAAGATAAACTTGCAGTTTTTAAATTTATTCATCACACACATGACTACTTAACTGATTAGAGGCTAAGTCACTTGGACAGAAATGAAATGTTAGTCCATTTGTACTGGCATCTCCTTTCTAGCCCTTTAAATCCTCCTCCTTCCCCTAAACTGAGGGCTACTCCATTCCTTTGAGTCTGGAAACCCCCACAGATGTAACAATGCATTTCATCTTCAAAAACTGCACTTCTCTCCATGGCTATAAGAGTACCACTAGCACATGTTCCAGCAACTTTCAAGCTTCACTACTCTTTAAAAATTCCTCACCCACAAAAGGCCACAAGCAATCCCATTCTTAAAGAGAAACCAAGGCAAAAACTCTGCCTTTGAGACCTAATTTAAATTAATCAGGGCCACTATTAACTCTGATAGTTCCTAAACTATATTACATATATATATATATATATATACACACACACACACATACAGAATATCAAGAGAAATGCATAAATCAGAGACCAGCAAGAAATAGTATAAACATACCACTCGACATAATTCCTGGACATCATGTTGCATGAAGCTGTCTAAAGTTTCCCACCTTTGTAAGGCAAATAAATAAAAAATTACTAATTAGGGAAAAAAACCACCTCAATTTGCAGATCAAGAATGTAATACACAGCAAGCTGTACAGACTGAGATTTAGGACTGGCTGATGCACAGGTTCTCTAACTGTGTAGGAAGAAGGGGCAGTGAACTTGTGGGAGATTTTGGCAGCTGTTCTGAGCCCAGCCCACTTCTCCTGGTGGGACTGGGGCAGGGACAGCAAAGGCTCTGGGTGACAAGGCCACAGCCAGGCTGCTGCCTTTCCAGTCTACAACCCAGCCTCAGTTCATGCCAAAAAACCTCTTAAATAAAAGTTTGGGAGCAATTCAATGCCATCAGTTTCCACAGCAGGTTTCCAGCTGCCTCTCTTCTGAGGGCCCTTCAGGTGCAGTCAAGTGGTGTTCAGGGATTATTTCAGCACAGGAAAGGAAGAAAATGGATTTATAGGAAAGACTGGCTCCTTTGTGCTCATCTAAACAGTTAATCCTGGGCATGCAGTAACTCCAAGGAGGCATTCAGCTTTCTGAGCTGTCCATGTGCAAACACAGGCTGTGAAGCAGGGGTGAGGGCAGCAGGATCTAAATGCCTCAAAGCCAGCATGGCACACTGCACTGAGGGTGTTCAGCACTCCTGCCTTCAATAAAACAAGAAGCACAAAGTGTTTCTAGTTCCAGCATTAAATACACCTGTGAGAATGTAATTTCAACTCAACAAAGCTTTTTAAATTCTAAGTCTCTGACAACTTTTTTTGCAGCAGTCACCACTCCCAGCTGTATAAAGTAAACTGTGCTGACTGTAGGCTCCAGGTTCAGTGAGATGCTCCACCCTGCCCCTGGAAGCAGCAGCAGGGTGATGAGGAGCAGGGCTGACTTTATCCTCCCTCCTACTCTCTTCTCACTGACTCACCCCCACTGTCACATGGCAGCAAACTCATCTCCAAAGTGTGCCAACAACTGTGTGGGGTCCACATTAAACAAGCTGAATCAAGTGGCCTGTCAGATAATTAAGAATAGAAAATAATGCCCTGACTCTCTAGGCTTTAAACACTAGCCAGCTCATAGGACAAACCAAAGAAAAAGGTCACACACTAAAATTAGGATAAAGAAGGGCACCTTCAGACATGGCATCATTTTCTACTTAAAGAAGTCAAACCTAGAAATTCACACTCATTAGAAAGTAATACCTGAGCACCTAGGGCTCACAAGGCCAAAAACCCCTCTCTGATTCAATGATGGTGGAAGAGGGAAACCTAAATCTTTAAACACCTTCTAAAATTCTTTTCCAAGAACAAAAGCAGGCATGAACACATTTGTTAAACCCTGCTGTTGGATACAAAATTAAGCACCTGCAACACCCTTGGGAGAGGCCTCTTCAAGCCACTGAATATGACACAGTTGGGATCTTAACTGGAGATGAAATATTTACTTTATCACCAAGTCCTGTCCTGTTACAGGACAGCAGGAGCACTGATACACCAAATATACAGTGTGCTAGTAGGAAGAGTTTATGACCAGACAAACAGACAACACTGAGGCTACTGATTTCCTTTTACGATTCCCCTAAAGGGGAAGAGTCAAGGTTGCAAAGAGGTTGTTTTGGGACAGAGCACAACTACAGGTTGTAGCAGCAGATGCAGGATGAACAACTGTATGAAAAAGATGATACAAAGTGTGCTTTGAAATAAGATGTGTTCCTAATGTGTTTTGAAATAAAACAGTGCTTGTCAGTATTACTACAAGACTAGCCTATAAATACAGTGAGACAAAATAATACAAAATAAAGTGTTTTAGAATGGATTTTAATAAAATCCTACTCCACACTTACAAGACATGCAAAGAGAAGACTTGCAAAGGTTATGCTAAAGTTAATCTTTCTGTCCTAACTTGTGTCTTCAGTACATTGTAGGAAAATGTTACAGCAGCCATCAGTGTTCAACAGCATGGACATGCAAATTACTGCTATTGCACTAAATCTAAAACAGATTCCATTTTTTAAAGACATTAGCAATACATGAACTGCAATGTTTCAATGACTATTTTCTTTCAATTTTACTTAAGTCAAATGCGTCATACAATGTTCAGGTAAATGATTACTCTGCTTTTAGCAGCTCTGTTTCTGTACCATTCCCCTTCCCAAAAAATCTGACTTTTGGACCAGCTGTCTTAGTACTGGCTACAAATAAGGACCTATGCAAGTAAACTACAGAAAGTTAACAATTAACACCATGTCACATTAACACTTCTCTGCACCTCCTTAAAAGTAACCTTATTTAAACAGTATCTTTTTCAAGAAAAGCTTTATGAAGTCCAAGTTCAATAAATAGTCCAAATTTCTGAAACTTACCCAAATGATTTTGTTAGCTTTTTAGTTCCAACTGGTTTGTCACTATGTTGCAGCTCATAAAACACTCTTTGCAATGCTAAAGGAACACTTTTGGATGAATCATCTCCTTCTGTGGGCATCATGTACACAGCCTGAAAAAGCATTTAGTTCAATTAGTATCAGAAAAGTTTATTGCTCATCCTGTTTAATGCATTCTTTCCTCTTCAGTGACTTCCTTCATAGAACTCAATTTAATCAACACTTCAAAAAAGTCTGAAAAAAATCTTGTACTCTAGTGTAAAAACATTAATTGTCTGGAACAACTCTTCTTAGAGCACAGTGGTTAGAAAAATGTGAGCAACAGATTCCATTCATAGTTATTTTATCTAAGTAGCTCCCTTATTGCAGCCTAGAACAGTAAATGCACTAAAGCATTTAACACCTTCAAAGACCTTCTCATGCCCAGTATGTCTCTGCAATCATCACAGTAGGACCAGATATAGCAGTCAATACCACAGACTTGAAAATAACTGGTTTTGTGAAAAAGCAACCACATGAAACCATAAAGGGCAACAAGTGAACAAAACCAGAAAGGGTCCACATGGAGAAAGATGTCAGAGGAAGCTCTGAGAGTCCCTGATTCATTCATTCATTCATTCCTACTTAACATCATTGCTGTCCAGCAAATAAACAGCTTAACAATTCAATTCACTGATTATACTGATCTGGGAAGGATTGGGAACAAAGAAATTACACAAATACACCAAACAAGGATTAGGAGAGTTCAATAGTCACTGAGATGAGATTTACTTTTTAAAAAGTGTACAGCAATACATCTAGGGGAAAGGAAGAGCAAACAAAAGGGAGACGTTCATTTGAGAAGCGTAAATATAAAAAGGAACAGACAGCCCTGGAAGGAGATTAGGCAACAAATGAAACTAAAAAAGACTCCAATATTAAGCAGCATATGAGAAAATAACCTGTTAAAACCAAAAAAATTGCCATCTGAATTTCTGCCTGTGAAACACCAGGGAATGATCCATTTCTGTGAGGTGGGCAGCACATCTGGCTGACCCTGGGCTCCCGAGGTGGGCAGCACATCTGGCTGACCCTGGGCTCCCGAGGTGGGCAGCACATCTGGCTGACCCTGGGCCCCTGAGGTGGGCAGCACATCTGGCTGACCCTGGGCTCCCGAGGTGGGCAGCACATCTGGCTGACCCTGGGCTCCTGAGGTGGGCAGCACATCTGGCTGACCCTGGGCCCCTGAGGTGGGCAGCACATCTGGCTGACCCTGGGCTCCTGAGGTGGGCAGCACATCTGGCTGACCCTGGGCCCCAGCTCCCCACACACAGCAAGGGCAGCAGTGCCCACAGGCAGCTGGGAACTCTGGGCAGGCACTGCTGCAGGACAGCTCAGGGCACAGGGATGGGAACCACACCAGGGTTAAGGAAACACTGACACAGAAACAATACAAGTGTGTGGCAAAAGACAAAATAAGAAAGAAAATGACAAAAGAAGTGCCTAAAATGTTGCCAGGTCAGCTTTCTATTCCAGTTCTGAGGATCCACTACATTTTCCAAAAGTACAGCAACAGAAATACTTCAAAGAATAAAGAATACCATCAGAATGTCTACAGTAAGATGTAATAAGAGAAACAATTTCATTAAGAAGGCAAATCCCTTCTGACAGAAAAAACAATGGTTAATTATGCAATTGCAAACTAATATGATAATTCACATGACTATCTTCAAGATTTTTAATTTAATTTTCAGAAGGTACCAATTAATAGAGATGATCTAAACAGAATCATGAACACAAGTAACTTCCAAATTTTATTTCTGCTCAGTTGGGAGCTACACTGTTAGTAGAACTTACACATATTAAAAGGAAGCATAAAAATTCAAAATTTATCAACTTTCTTCTAAAGGACAGGCAACAGAAGTCTTTGCTAGGGTAATTTAAAGAACAATAGCCCAACCTCACCCTAATGACAGCCAAAAAAAAGTTTTCTTTTGCTCCACTTTGAGATTTGTTTAAATTTCTTTTATGAATTTTATGAATTGAAGAAAATTGCACCTTCAATTTTATCACTGGCAACAGGTTTTAACTGTTGAAACTCAAAACCTTCAGTGTGTTAGGCACTGCTTCAAGAGCTTCTAGTGATGCAGTCTGGAAGAGAACTCTGTAGGTTCTGATCTCTGTTTCTGCCTACAGGTGCCAAGGTCAGACTGGGGTGCAGCTGCTCAGGATCAGATCCAGTTAAGCTCTGAGCATCCCCAGGAATGGAGATCCCACCACCTCTCCACACACCCTAATGTAAAGCTGGACCACCCTGATTATGAAAATTTCCTTCCTAAAATCAGAACATTCAATTTAAGAACTATCCAAATAAGCTAATAAAGTCAATAATTCCCAACTGCTTTACTTTTATCATCCCAATGCAGAATCCCAGTTAACCAGGTCGATCTGGGCAAACCCAAATATCACTAGGTAAGACTTATAGCTTCAATTTCACAAGCCAAAGTTATTTCTTGTTTTAAAATATCAACACCAGAACAAGTCAGCACCTTGAAGAGTCAACCTTAAACCTCTTCCTGCAGCTGGTTTATGAACCTTTTAAAGAGTGGGTGTCACTAGCTAAAGGTAGAAACAGAAGTAGTTGAATGACCAAGTCTCAGATCTTCCAAAATTCTATCATCACCCCCTATTAATTTTTTTGAACATCTTATAAATGCTTTTTTAAAAAACAAATATATAGATACTTGCTATGGTTAAACAAATAGAAACAAGGCATGAAAATCAAGTCATGAAAGAATGCAAATATAGGCAGTGTTGATATATTCAAAAAATAAATACTAATATGCTAAACCTGCATCAGGCTAAAAATCAATCTTGTGATTGACTCTTCCTTCAAAAATGCATAAACTGGAGTTCAGAATACCTTGATAATTAATCAAGTTCTTTGCTTTTAGTTCCCTTTTTTAAATGCTTTTCTCATATACCATCTGGACAATTAATTCCCTTCCTATATCTCTCAAGTAACACTCAAATAATAATTTACAATTTACTTATAATTACTATATTCCAGCTGTCATTGAATAAAAACACCAGTTTTATTTCTTTGGAAATTCTACATGTGTTATGACAAAGCAGACATTTAACACAGCCTTTCTTGGCTCTTTATTCTGCTTCTGTATTTAGGTAATATTGGAGCTCATTTCTCTAAGTTTAAGTATTTCTCCACACTACCACTTTTTAAATATTATCCTCTTCAAACCTTATTTTTTGCTTTACCCTCCCAGATTCTGAAAGCTTGACCTCTTGATAAAGGAGTGAGGCATTCTGATCCATGTAAAAGAGCAGGGTCTCTTATTTAACACCTGAGAAGTTCCCTCAGGAAATGAACATTAAAGAGGGATAGGGACATGTACAGGCATATTGAGAGATATGAGAAAAATTTTAGATATTTATATAATAATAGAATGCTACAGGTAACTTTGAACACATTGCTTAAAAACAGGAATTACTTAAAGAAGGGAAAAAAATACTGTGCATGGAATTCTAAGGTTAGGTAAAATATATTGGATAACTTGAGTAGAACCAGATCAGGGAGAAATGGACAAGCATTTATTATTTTAATGTATTTATATAAACATTCTGTAATGTTCTCATGAGCTGTAGGGACTTTTACAAGGGAACCAGCAGGAAGTTCCAAAAGGTAACAGAGCCCAGGGTCAGACCTGGGCCCTCTGGGAAGTCACCCCTGCCCCTTGCCTACTGGACTGTGATAAAACACACATTTATCACTCCCAAACAACAAATAACAATGTGCTCTAATGTCAAAGTTCCTTTCTTTATTCCCTGCCACTGAAGCCACCTCTTGTTGCTTAAAAGGGAGGTCTCATTTCCAAGCAGAGCCTCCCATGTGCCATGTGGAAGCAGAGCAGAGAAGAAAGGACCTCTCCATCATCCTCACCCACGCTTCCCCAGGGCCTGACTTGCCACAGGTACATGCCTGCCTTTGCTATTGTTCATTGCTTCCCCAGCTCTGCTCCTGACAGCAGCTTCTCAGTGAACAAAGCTGAAGTAACAGCAACAGGAATCATTGTTTCTTCCAAGGAAGGAGGATTCACTGAAATTATGGAAATGGTGAAAAGCAAACCAAGGATACTGCGCGTTTTGTTTTATTTTACTTTGGTTTAAGAAGAACACGTTTGGACAAAGTGAAAACAAAAATGTAAAAAAAATACTTTTTTCAGACAAGGCAACCACTGCTTCTTCCTGATCTGCACCAATGGCAGATAAGTGCTAAAGCTGTCTAAAACTGACACTCTCACCCGTTCTGTTTGGAGGGGCTCTGAAAGCCTGAGGAATGAGCAAGGAATTGAACATTCCAGCTGATGTCCAGGAACACTTCCATAAAGGAAGATGCAGCTACCAACTCTATAAATTAAGTTTTCTCACATGGTCACTAGCCACATATTAAGAGATGCTAAAAGTTGCTTTTATTTTGGGGCTGGGGAAGAAGTGCAGGGGAATGCCTGGTAAGAATAGTTCAGTTGAAACCAATCTGTATTACAAAAATAATTTTTTCTTCACTACTTCATGGTACATACTGATTTAGTGACTACAAGACAGTCTTGAACAAACTACTCAACTGCATTAGATGGAGCTATTACAAAACCACTTTTTTCTCTTCAGAGCAAAGTGAGTTATCCAAAAGAGTAAAATACACAAACACTGAGTGCTGAGCAAAAAGAACAGGCACTATAATGAATGATAAACTGAATGAGTAAATTCTACCTCCTGCAAAAAACATGTAAAACAAGTCAAGTATTTATCTGTTGTCCATGGCATTAGGAAGATCTCAGTTACATTCTATTCGAGTTTAAAGTGTTATTTTTTTCACCGTGCTTCAGAGAAAACAGCATTACAAAGAGAAAAAAGAAATGCCAACTGGGACACTTACCACAGGGATACAAAAAGTAAGATGGTGGGAAATTACAAACAGTGGAAAGCAGGTACATTAAAAAGAGAAAAGAAAGCTTAACTGAACTGCAACTAGTCTACATAAGAGAAAGTCCAAGTTAGAACAGTTCATTTGCACTAAGAGACAGTAAGTGCAGAAATGCACAGAAGGATGAATTAGGATCAATAGCAAACTCCAATACACTGAATAATGACAAGTTGTTTTTTTCTCCAAGTACATCCCCTCTTCTAAACAGCCACCTCCAATATCTAGCCATCACTTCTGTTTTTAATCCCAGTAAGGGTATTGCACTGTTTTAAAATTATACTTTATCTAGTGTATTTTATCCTGGCTTTAGATGAGATATTTATTAAAAAGGTATTTAAAGAAGTTCTTTCCAGCAAAGAAATAGCATCTACAGTAAACAAAAAATTCTACTAAAGTAAATATATAATTATGTTGTTTAAACTACTGAAAATACAATGTCTTCCATCACTACAGAATGGCAACCATAATAACAAAAAAATTCTGCTGCATAATAGCAATTTCAAGATGGAGCAAATGTGTATCTTTGTGCATTGTTTATGGGCTGAGAAGTCATAATTCCCTATTTTAACTATTTCAGAAAAGGGAAATTGCTTCCATCTTTTATCTGCAAGATTAAACTGCTTCCCCTGCCCCCAGCAATTCCTAGCAATATTAACATATAATACAGAATATAGAAACACCCCCTAAGCTCAGGTCTTCTTCAGGTGCTCTGCCTGCTTCCACAGAAAACAAAAGCTTGTGTTCCACCAACTACAAAAAGGAGCTTCCTGTACTCTGCCTGCAGTAAGACAGGCATCACCATATAAGTCACAACTCCTCTGAAAGGATAAAGGAGGCAAAAGGATCACACAGGTCTGTTTTGAAGCATTTAGAAATGCTAATTAAAACAGCCAATGTTATAATCTCATGTTCTTTCATGTACTGCTTACCTTTCGTAGCTGATTTGTGAAAAATAAAGTCTGTAACAAACTGTTCATGTAACAAGTTGCTCCCTGGTTCTTTAAGCCAACATATCCTGTGTGCTTCTTTGAATCCCACCTAGAAAATAGTTTGTGGTTAAAAACAAGGAAGTTCTGTATTCCAACAATAAAGAGTGTTTGTTCTAAGGTGGTGCTGCTGGTAAGTATCAGCTACTCTCCACTGCTACTTAAGGTTCAAATAAACTCCACTACTGCCTGCCAGTACCAACAGGCTTGCAATTAGATGCTTAGTGATTTTATTACCTCTTTTTTAAAAATATGTTCTATATGGCAGAAATATGATGTCCTGTGAGAGTGTCCTGGAAAGTACAGCTCAGAGCTGTACTTTCAAGAGCAAGTCTGCACTTCTGTACAACCCCATTGTTTACAAGTGCCATGAAGGAGAACAACTGAGATGAAGCAGTTTTACAACTGTAAACCAAGGCAAGTTAGCCAGCACTTGGCTGCACATGAAACCCCATCAGCTCCCACACCACAAATGCTCAGGCCACAACTGCAGAGGTGTTCAACCACAAACCAACTCACACAGAAGTTGAGGCTCCACAGCATTTTGCTGACTGATGCAAACAGAAATTTAAGCTATACAAAATCTCTATGTGACTATGAAAAAATTGCCATGTAAGAATTTATCAAAAAGTAGTGACAAAGTGAGAATGTCTGATGGGAGCTACAAATGACAGTAACACAGAATACTTGAATGATCACAAGCAACATAAAAATATTAGAATTAAGAATTTTTAACACTGCTTTGTTTTTAATCAAAGATACTTACGCTACTCCGTGTGGAGCATCTGCTTGAACATAGACTTCAAAAGTAACTTTGTCCTCTTCTATAAAGCCTTTTTCAGGATCAGTAACTTCCTGTAAAACACCAATGACACAGGAACATGAAAAGTGGAACATGCAACATGACTGCAGTGAAGCATCCTGTTAGACATCACTTTCTCATTTCCAAGCCTGAGTTATCAGTAGTAATAAACTGAAAAAGAAAAACTGAAGAACATCAAAGCAGTTGCCTTTCAGCTTATTAGATTTTAATCCTTTTTTAGGGTCTCAATGAAGGAAACTTGTTCCTGCCTTCTAAGATTTTGCAGTAGTTTTTTGGTTTTTCGATGATGTAAGAGTTGGTAATCAAATATTCTACTTCTTCTGGACAATATTCCAAAACTTCTGCAAATGCTTAAAAAGCTCTCACAATTCAAAAGAAACGTTAATAGTATTATTAGGGCATTAAATATACATGTACATATACACAAAGAACATATGGAAATGCAAGCAAATTTATGTTGCTTCAGAATGTCAGTGACTATCACTTAGTGATAACAAAACACAAGCACTCAGGCAGAAAATAGTAATGAGGGAATATTTAAATTACAACATAAGTAAAAGCACTCTAAAAAAATCAAATTAACAGAGTAAGAAATTGAAAAGAAATCTACAGCAATGATAGAAAAAAAACAACAGCTTGGGGGAAAAATCCCTTTGCTATCAGCATCTCAGTATGCAGGAGGACAGGTACAAAACTGCTCCTACCTAGCAATAGATTAATATTTGTCCAGTTACTTACACTCCAGGCCATGAAGTTAGAAAAGCCCCAGTCATTCTCCTTATGAAAGAACAAGTGACTAATACGACGACTGAATGATTTTTCATCATCCTTGTAGTTTATTATCTTGAGAACTGCTTGTGCATGACAGGACCATGACCTATAAATACAGAAGAAACACTTGAAACTCTTTCAAAACCAAGCTTTTTATAGCCGTTACATAATTTTTTTTGTTCGGGATTTTTGGTACATTACTTTCACACATCTGATTTTTTTCCTTATTAGATGTTAATTGTTATCGAGGGCATGAACCTCTGGGGCTTTCTGAAGCCACAATTATGAACCTGGAATGGAGATTTTCTTATGGCAACAGTGTTGACAAGGAAGTGTGTCAGTGGCCTGCAGGTTGTTTAAAAAGCTGAGGGCTCCCCCAGGTGATTTAGTTCTGATCTGCCTCACTGCACAGGGATGGGCAGCTCCAAGTGCTCTTGGTGTCCACAGAGTGGGAGGTCTCAGCCTTTGGGAAGCAAAGGATGAGGAGCTTCTACCCTCCCTCCCACAAATAAACTCCCCAACACTAATTGTCCCAGCAGCACTTCTTCATGACCACTGGTGTTCAAAGCCACCACTTGTGCAAGGCAATCAGTGTGGACACAGCTCAGAGCAGGTCCTGTCACTGCCTCATGCAGTGGCACTGCTTGCTCAGCTCCACCAGCTGCACCTTGGTTGGTACTTCTGAAGATCACCCTTTTTCTGTAAATGCTTGGATGTGAATCACATGTCCTGTGACTTGTTAACTTTTTCTTTACATTCTGCCCTCAGCACTCACCTCTAAATTCTAAAAATGATGAAGAAGTGGAATTTATCATTCAGAGTAAACAACCAGCTTTGTGAGATTCAGGGCCAGAATGGATTGACCATATTGGAAAGGACACCTGAGGGGTCTGAACTGTTCCTGGATAAGCTACAGGAATGCTCCAGAAATTTGCAGTTATCTTTTAAATTTTTTCTGTTATTTACAAAAGTGATCAAAGGTAGTCAATGCTGATTAGCATGCAGGACCCTAAGAACACTCACATGTTCAGATCTTTCTGGATGAGTGATGGACTCCACTTAAGGAGAGCACTCATGCCCTGCTCTGCCTGCACTGTAGCAGTTACCTGCTCACACGCTTCACTGGGCAGCATTTATAGCTTGGCATGGTTAGAGAAGCTCCATTTTCATTAGAAATAAACCCAGAACTTTTTCCATGCCAAGAAAACTGTCAGTCAAGGGCTTCTCCTTCAGCAAGCATATATCTAAATTCTACCACAAACTTTTAGTCACACAAGCTGATTTTAGTTCATGCTAAAGAGGGGATTATTCTTATGCTTTGAGATTTAGAAAGGTGGGGGTAAAGGGCACTCAAACCCTTGCAATTCTCTCCTCTTGCAGAAAGCAAGGGTTTGTTTGTGTTTCTTGCAATAGATTAACCCTGTACAAGAATTAAAAGGCTCTTACGTGGAATCAGACTCAGCATTGCACTGAAGGAAGAATCCTACACTCTTCTGGTGTGGTCTGTCCGGGTAGAGCCGAGGCATCACCATGATCTTCCATGGCAAATTCCGAACGAAGCACGGAGGGCTGAGCACTGACTCACTCAACCTGTTGAAGCGTTCCACTGTAAACTGAAATGTTGCTTCTGATCGCCAACTTGTATCTGTAACACATACACACACACCATTGCTTCAAACACCTCACCTTCTTCACTCCAAAATGACCAACAGCATGTAACATGAGCGTGTTTCATGTAGTGGAATATTGGCAGCAACAAAAACATCCCCATCCCACAGGACTTAATTACCGACATCTCAATTTTTTCATTTTGAAAAACACTGCAGCTCCATTCAGGCAAACATGGCACTGCAAGACACATTCCTTTTGTACACTATTTCCTTAAATGCTTCTTAAGGATTTGTTACCACTCCAGCTTCTTCTAAAGCAGCAGGTGCAGTAAGACAGAGACATCAAATGCTCTACAACTAAATCACAGCCCACTCTAACTCTTCTTGTTGTGTAGCATCTCCACAGCCCAGTTTAAGTCACTTCTCTGCGTGAACCCATATGCACAATGGAGTTTCACAATCTGTTCAAATGCCCTGTTGTGATATCATGTCACCATTTAGTTGCTTTTGGCTTGCAATAGTAGATTTTAAAACAGATGAATGCCAGAGGATGGTTGTTGGATTTCTGTAAAATCCTATCACTTTGCTGAAAATCAGCTCAAGTGTAGGGTCCTGTTTCTTTGTGCTACGCAAAGACTTTAGAGATTTTTAGTGGTCTAGCACTATATCAAATGAGACTATTTTTTTTTCAAAGAGCTTATTTTGACACACACAATTAAAGTAATTTTGTCTTCTTCCCACATACCCAGTTCTTCACCTACCACAATCTGTTCTGCTTCTGTAGTACACAGCTATAACAGGGTGCTGGAGACTGTGACAGCTTCAGCAAGGCGCAAGGCCAGGCTCTCTTTACTGTGACATGCCTCATATTGCACTCAGAGAAAAAACCTGCAACTTATCCCAATAACTTGACAGGCCAGGGATGCATAAGACATTGCCAGGGATGCACAAGACAGTCCCATGGTTCCAGTCTGACACTGGTGTAACAGGGAATCCTCCTGGCTCTAAGGAGCTTGGATGAGCACAGGGCAGCAGGCAGCAGCCATGGTCACCCTGCTGCTCTCCCTGCACCCACAGGGGATGCACAACCACACGTGTGTCACACCTGCAGTGACACTGAAATCAAACAGCACTGAGGGACAACACCACTGAGGCAGAAGTCAGAGTGTGAGCTGTGACAAGGCACAGAGTACAACAAAGGTGTCCCTGCCATACAGGGAGAGCAGTGGTTTGCTCAGCTTGGCACGGCACCAGACACTGTGCTGAATCATTTTTCCAAAACACAGGTGAGTCCTGATTGCTACCTTAATTTAAAAATGGAACACTCTTGATTACAACATGCAACAGGGTAAAGATTATACATTTCATACAGAAAGTTACCAAGTTTTAGCCACAACTGCCAGGGAGCTATGACAGATTTCATTCTTCTCCCTTGTGAAGCAGTTTTCAAGCAGTTGTTCTACTCCTGAACTACAACACACAATATTTTTTTGTGTATGGTCTGACAGCCCCAAGCACTCCAATTACCTCTTGGAGGTACTACAGCCCAAATCTGCTTCCTGTCCCCTCCACTCCTGCAAAGACCTTCGTGCTGCCCTGTGCTGTCAGCTTCCTCAGTAACACCAGAGTTCAGAGGATTACTTTCTCCTTTTTCCCTGCCTGGAAGTGCAGCTAACTACAGTCTGTCACCTACTTATAAAATGCTCTCTTCCCAGTTTCACTACTCACTGCCCGTTGACAGAGTGAAGAGCTGATCTTCTACACCTAAGAACCTGACAGGCTGCAGACAGAGGAGCTCTAACTTGATTTGCAGCCAGGATGAAACAAATCTGTAACACACTTAATTTAAAATCAGTCTTGTATCACACGTGTATCTCAAACCAACCTGAGGCCACCTCCCTACTCACAATCATGATATCAGTGCTTCTGGGCTCAGTTTGAGCTTCCAAAAGATGAGCCAAGTTTGCTTTCTGCCTCCTTTGATGCAGCTTTCAAAGCACTTCAGCACAAGGATGCAGCAGTGCTGCTACAGTGTCAGCTAAAAAATGCAGCCCACGCAGCATCTGCAGATGCTTCAGAGAAAGTTTGCCTGTATTTCTTGATTTCTTTTCAGGAAAGCCTGTGCATGAGAGCTCACCAGGGAATGGGAACTCTTCTCTGTAAAATATTGGAGCAAGCACTAGTAACTGCTCCATAAAAATGCAGCCTTGTAACACAGGTCAACCCTAAAATAGAAGTTATTTTAAAAATAACAACCTTCCTTTCCTGTCAGTAAGCCTATTTTTTCTTAGGAAGTATAATGGATTAAAGGATGAATTTTATTAGAAAAAGAAGTTCACATAGCAAATGTGAAAATTATTTTGAGTACCCCAATAAATAAAGCCTTTTTTTGCCATCATGAACATGTCCTCCAGATGCCAGTAAAGTCTGCAACTGGCAGCAGGATAATTTAGTAGTGACTGGCAAGTGAGACTTTTCTAAATCCCAGAAATTGAACACAAGGTCAAAAGGACTGATCCAGCTGAAAATACTTGGACAAATTACATGCAATGGACTGTCTTTGCTATGTGGAAAACATTTTTTTCATTGATGTGATGAATGTCACATTCAACACCTTCACAGAAGAAAGATCCTTCAAATCAGAGATCCAAATACTGAATAGGATCCATTTTAAAGCTGAAACACATATTTAAATGTTGATACTTTGGGGAAAAGCAGATTTCTTTCTTCTCTTAGTAAATGTTGCTACCTTGAAAGTGCACTGGAGTTATTAAAATATTCTGAACCTGAATTATTAATGGAGAAACTGGCTGAATATTCTATGAATATTTTAATAATGATCCAAATACAGCATGCAATACCAGCATATGGCTAAGACTGATGCTTCTGAAAGCCTTCTTGCCTCTGCAATTCTTCACAGAAATGAGACTTCAGGAGGCAATGGCAAAGCTGTGAGTTTATGTTCAGCTAGGGACCTTCTGTTTGAACTTTAACTTCTAAGAGAATTTACTCTATATGTTGCTTTGAATACTGATGCACTTGCAAACAAGTTTTGATCAGAGCCTTGTTTTTAATATTTTTTGCTTTATTTGCAGAGGCTGCTATTCCAGCTTTTAAAGTCTGGTTCATTTAAGTCCTTCTCCATACAAAGCACAGCACAGTCCTTCTGCTGGTTTTTTTTAATTGCTAAGACTTCACACAGAGCAGCAACAGGTACTGGTCACAGCCTTGAGAGAACACAGCCTTATCTGAAAGTCCTGCTGCAGGTCCACTGCTGCTCCCATTCCCTGTGCCTCACAATGCCTGCAGCCTGTTGCCTAGCAAAGGCGATGAGAGCTGCACTTTTTTTTTTCCCAATCTTATCAGTCATTTCTTTATGTGCTAAGCTGGAAGAACAAAACCAGCTCAAAAGTTTCTTGAACTCAGAAAATCACCAAAAAGCCAATTTCTATGATCCAGCTGGCCACATCAACCTTTCATTTTGCTGTTCATCTCTCTCACAGGAACCATTAAATTCATTAATTTTGCTGAAGAGGTATCTAAATTCTCCTCGTGCATTCTGTATCAGCTAAGATTGATGCCCCTTGCTATGAGTAACAGCAAAGGAAAACTGCATGTTTATCAGAGAAGCCTATATCTCCCATTTTCCCTGTCTTTGTAATCTCTGAGCTGTCCATTACCCATGCACATCATACTGCAAACCAGGTTAGCAAGAGCACAAACAGCAAGAGAACAATTGCACCGATGTGTAAATAATGCAACAGCAAGCAATTAATCTGATTTACAAGACTTGGAAAAGAGGCACCATCCACTTACATTATGCAAGTCTTCAGGAATGTTTTTGCAACTCTAACATTTTGCAATAACACTCTTCTCTATGTGTGTCAATGCACAGCTGTAGCAGCACCAACATGTAGCCAGACACTCCTTATTCAAATATAATGAGGAACTATTAAGAGGATTGCTTAACAATCACACTTGCAGCCTGAAGGGTGTCCCACTGCAGAGTGGGGCCAAGCTCCTGACCATGCTGGAAGTCCTTAAAGGCACAAGAAGCTTTCACAAACCTTCTGTCAAATGCCTTCAGATACTTTTTCTCCCTAGTGCAACACCTTCAATGCCCAGTTCTGAGAGGAGTTGGGAATTGATACAAACAGGTTCACAGCAGTTTTTTGACTAATGGGTCAACATCTTCTGAATGAAGAGGTGAATATCTGATTACTTGCTAGCCCTGACACAGCCTGGCTTTCATCAGCTATTCCTGCAGTTTAAGTCCCTATTTTGGCTAATTTGTACAAGTATATACAGACCAACCAGTGGACAAATTATTTTTCTAATTCACCAATGTTTTATGCACTGATTGTATCAACAGCAAACACTATCAGGCTTTATATATATATATAAAGATCCCTACCAAGAACAGAGCTCAAACAGATCTGTTCTAGCCAGTTGGTGTCAACCCATGTGGCCTTCTCTTGCCACCCTCTAAATACCAGGGCCTAACAGACATTTAACATCTTTTATAACAGCTTTTGATAAGAAAAGACTCTGAGCAATAAATCAAAACCCTCTGAATGAGATTAGGTAATCCCACAAATAAAATTCATAGGCTAAGCCCATTTTTCTTTAATAGCAAGACTCTGGTCATTGAAAACTTTATCTTTGCCAATGATACAGAGGTGATTCAACCATGATATGCTTTTGTTCTGAATTTAAACCCTATTCTCTTCATGGAACATCACTATTTTCTATAGTATTCTACATTCCTTGAACACATTAAAGTAAGCACTTTTTTGACCTTTAACCTCAAATTCTGATTTTTCTGAAAAAAATCACCCAACAGTTTTGCACAAATCTAACTAAAAGTTTAAGCCTAGTCCTAAATGCACTCTCACAAGACAGCACAAAATATGGAACAAATCCCACTCATGTGATGTTTCCCTTCTCCCAGCTCAATTTTACTTCATTCTTCAAAATGAGCAGTCCCTGTCCATATCCTTTCCCAAGAAAAGAAATATCACTGCACATTTTTCTCACTAAACAGAACAGATTTAGAAACTTGTTACCTTTGTTTAAATATACCCAGAGTTATGGTTATTTGATCCTCTGCAACAAACTGTACACCCTTACTTTCATTTAATGGACCAAGAAAAAGACTTCAAAAACACATGTCCCTTTTATTAACAGGACATTAATACATAATTTTTCTTTTGCTTTTGCAAGTAAAATTAGGTGTCAAAACTGAGAACAAAAGATGTTCATCAACAGAATAGTTACCACTGACTTACCACACAAAGACAAAACCAGATCACAGCTGCCACCTGACAAGAGAGCAGGACAGATAAGGATTCTAAACACCCTGAAGGAATTGCATAACTGATAAAATTACTATTCAGCAAAGCCCAGCTGCAGCACCTTTAAAGGGCTGTATCACAAAACATAACAATGGACAGTAGCACTTTCAGCAATTTCTAAATGAGTACCTAGAAAGAGTACAAGAAAAAAATCCCAAGCCTTCAGAAGTCTAATCTTATAGTACAGCTATGCCAAAAGGATGCCTACACAGAAAACCAGCAGCCATAACTACAGAGGGATTCATTTTTTTTAATGAGCTGCAGATCACAGGACACAGGTAAGAGATGGACTATTTTCTCCTCAAAATCATACAATTAAAGAAGCCAAATAAACCACATGTTTATCAAATATTTACTTACCATCTTCCATGTCTTCCTCAGTGTTGTTATGTCCGTCAGCCATCGCTACATTCCCATTAATGACAGGATTTTGAGTAATTCTTGGAGGATCATCTGTATCTCCAGCTAAGACAGAAAAAAAGTATGTAAAAATTAAACATGTAATTAATAATCAGATATTAACTTTTTTGTCTCAGGTAGTGTTTATGAGACAGATGAATAGTGCACACTTGTACAGATCAGTATTTATTTAAATTATTGCTCAAAAGTTGTACTGGTATGTGTCTAAAAAAAATCCCCAGATAGGTGAATATTTATGGATGCAGAAAAAAGTCCACATTAATGTGGAATACAGACACAAAGAACATAAACCGACTTTTAAGTTTCCAGATTGCCTTGCAATCAGTATCTCATAATCAAGTCTCATTAAATAAGAAATTTATATTTACTTTTTCTTGCATTCTTAGAATGTAAGAAATTTTTACACAAGTTCAAGTTTCTAATAGCAGACTTTCTAAACGAACAAGTTGCTTGAAGACTTCTTCAGTGTTGCTGGTTTTTAAGAAAAAACCTCAATCTCTAATCAAATGTAACTGTAAGATTTAAATCTTGAGTAAAAATTGCAAAGGAAATCTTTTAGGATTAAGGAACATTTTAGACATAACATTTTCCAGTTTCTAGCCAACACTGCCATTATGTTTTGCTCCAGTGACCATTACATATGTAAATGCCACTAAACCAAGAGATATGAGACAACTTGATGAACTGGAACCCCACTATTTCCAAGTTGCATTGCCTTGATTGAACAAGCACATTCCTGATTCCTCCAACAACTGAGCAACACCTCCTTCCATTGCTTCCACACCAAAAGCCAGTGGAGAGCATGACTCCAGCAAAGTGGGTATGTTCTTGGATAAACTAAACTGCCTTGTATCATCAAACTGCAAAACCTATAAGCCCTTGCAACCATCTCAAGGACAAGCACTACTTAAAAGACACTCTAATTTAAAAGGTCTGCTGAGTTTCTCATTGCTGTACAAGTCATGCTATTGACTTATATATTCCACTACCCCTCAAAAGCCCCAAGGTCACTGATTTGTGTAGCCAGGAGCAGTTTTATACCTAAAAGCTCCACACAATATCAATCAGTAACACAAGTTACTGACAATGTGCACTGCTGGGGATGCAGGCAACCTGTGCCACAGGATGGAAAGCGCTCCCAAGGGACACAGCACGATCCCAGCCCCAGCACAGCAGCCCGGCCGTGCCCTCGCCCGTCAGCACCCTGGACAGAGCCGGCCTGGCCAGCGGCCCTGCCGAGCTCCCGGGCGGCTCCGTGCTCCTCACGGGCACGCAGGGATGGATGGATGGATGCCCACAGACCGGCTGCTTGCAAGAACTGCCAGCCAGCCCAGACACTTGCCTTCTACCAGACTGCAGCTGAGTTTCTCCTGGGCAAAACAAACACAAGCGACGACAGGAATCGCCGTGTGATCGTCTCCGAGTCTTTGAAAAGCCAGCGAGCTCCCACCAAAGGCAGGACAAGGCACGGGATAAGCGCAGCAGGAGCTTCAGAGCACTCCCTCTCCTCAGAGCACACACCATGCTTCTGCAGCCTCATTCCAATTCACAGCACACAGGAAGATACTTTCACACCCAGCACTTCTATTCTGATTGTTTACTCTCCCAGTAAATCCGCACAAGTAGTAACCTCTGCCCTCAGCACCACAGAAACAGCTCAGGTTAGAGACTTACTCCTGGATTAGAGCTACGCTAGATCACAACTCAGTGCTCACCCACGGCTTCTGGACACTTCGTAGGGTGCAGCAGATCTCACTGAGGTACCAGTGAAAAGGGTACTGGGAAACACACACTGCAGCACTAACACATGCACTTTGCTAAATTTTCAGCTTTAGAACAAAAGCAAAATCAAGTATGACTTGAAGTTTTGACTTTGTAAGGAGAAGGTTAGCAGAAGATTGGGTCAGGTGTGGCAGAGCCTCAGGGGTCCCTCAGCAGCAATTGGCACTGGCAATGCTGCAGCAGAACAACAAGTTAAAGATTTACTACAACAAAATTATGGGGGGACAGGTTTGAACTCCTGCAACTTAAGAGTGGGAAAAATGACAAAAATCAAGAGTGAGAAGGAAAGATCTCCAATTTCATTTCAACATCCTGCCTTCCCCCCTGTTTTTTGAACATTTTAACAGCACGTGCTGGTCTAAACAGAAAGCTGTCCTCTGGGTCACTGCATTCTAGAAGCATACAGCATGTTCTCAAAATGCAACAATTGTTTACACTAAATTAATACTAACTTTTTTTAAACTTATTTTTCTTCCTAAAGTTATCATCAGTGCAACTTAGTATCTGGAAACAAACTGAAGCCAACACCTTAGGAATAGTTTTGTTCTTCACTAAAAGCATATCCGATATCATCTTTAAACAGGGAATTTAAGTATTGACACTATGTTTCATGGGGAAGAACTGATCTTAATTAAGAAAATAAAAAGCTTTCTATGAGATACTGCTCTAAATTATCTGAAAGTATGAGGAGTTAGAGATCATAGCAACAGCAATCAACTTAAACAGAGACAGCTTCTGAGATACTGTTTAGTGATAAGACAAATGAACCATGATGAATGCCCCTGCTGCTTCTTCTGACATGGATGGACACAAAGTTTGTGATACAGCTTTCAGATATGGAAACCAGATAACACCAATCAATGTTTCTGGCTACTGTGAACAAAGGAAATGTTTTAACTGCTAATAAAAGTGAAGTAATCCTTTACACAAACAAAACACAACCCCTCTTCAACAGATGTACTAGCAAGCAGTATAACAAAATACATTTTCTAGTAGAGCATTGAAAACCTGTAATTTGTGTTTTTCTCTCTTTTCCTTAAGAGCTCATAGGAAAGAACTGTAAAATTATACCAAGGTTTAATTAAGAAACATGTTTTCCTTTGCCTCAAGCAGAGGCAATGCCAAAGACTTATTCAAATTATACATTACAGGATTAAGAAAAAAGAAAAAATACCTGTCCACACTGGCCAGGAAAACCTTCCTACCAAACATACTACCTAATACACTGCTGTCTTTAATGCAGCTTAAACCAGTGTGTCAACATCACTCCAGTCATGTCATCTGTCCATTCCCACATCAGAATTCCCAGTTTTAATGACAGCCCTGGAATAAATTTGAGATGCAGTCTATGAATCAACTGAAAGTTAACATAAACCACATCAATTAAGGAAGCATCACAACAAAGTGACTTTAGGAATAGGAAATGTTTTTAACTCTTAAAATACATTACTGCAATGTTCAATGAATATAGCTTTCAATAGCAAAATTGTAGACATTAAAAGACTGTTTTGTAAGCATTTATTTTTCACCTCCTCAAAATGCAACACATGAACCTCTGTAGATATTCTTTTGTTACAAAAAGGAATGCAAGGCAACATGAAAAATAGTGATGACAATTTCTTCTGAAACATTTAACATCACATACCTTTTTCTCTCTGCCCATGGCACTGTGTTACAAATGAAAAATACAAAGAGTTTACAGGGGGTCTCTGAGTTTGGAGTTTGGAGGCTAAGACAACCTCCAAGAAGAGACATTTCAGATATTAGTGAGTTAGTGCACAAAAAAGAGCTTTCACTTATTTCAGCATTCATGATATTTCAGTAACTAAGTCTAAACATTGAGATGCGCAACTGGAACAAAACTGGAGCGTGATGCCACAGTTTGGGACGCTGATAAGAAGTGTCAGTCATCTTACACAAAAAATTACTGGATTATATATAAGTGGCTCTGCAGGTGCACACTCCTCATCCCCCATTGACTAAGTCTGTCACTGAAGTGCTGAGATGAAAACCTGAAAGCAAAATGATTGTGGCAATTGCTGCAGGGGAAAGAGGGGTAGAGAAGGAAAAAACCAATCTATAAACTTGCCATAAACTATATAATGACAGACCCTACAGAAAGTATATATATGAAAAAAAATCTGCTTGTTATGGACTATGAGATCAGTATCATCATATATAAATACTCACACTATTAAGCAATCAGAATTAAAAGAGCAGCACTGATTTTTAAAATGACCTCTGTATTCAAAAAAAAAGCTTTTCTGATGGATTCAGCCTGTTCAATAATATGAACTCAAGTGTCACAGTAAGATACATTGCTCTGTTGTTCTACTGTTCCCAACAATTCAAATCTACAAGGAAGGAATCTCAGTTTGCCATTTTTTTTTCCTACTGATGAGAAAGTGGAAAAAAATTTTGTCAAGTTCATGTGGCTTCTGGCATAACTTAAATGCAGTTCTAGTAGAGGAGCAGAGCAGAGTGCTCTGTCCCTAAGCTGCAGGACACAGCTCAGCACAAACACGTGTTTGCAGTCACATGTGGCCAAAAGCTACAGAATGACTGCACAAGCACAGCAATTCCACTACAGCAGGAACTGCTTCTATTGAACACGATCACAGCAAGCTATAGCCTCACTAAGCTTTCAGTCATGACTCACATCACAGCCATAGTCAAAGTCTGAAAGCTTATCCATAATGTTTGTCATTAGCTTCTGGAGCTGGCAGCCACAGAGGAGAAACTGAAGCAGTCTGGGCAGCAGGTTATGAAACATTTGTTTCCTTTTGAGGTTAAGGAGACCACAGCGGAGGAGTAATAGTGATACTAAAAACTTGGTTACAGTTATCACACACATCCGCCTCACGCTGGAAATCGCAGGCACTGAGGGCTTTCACAGTCCCTGCACACAGCCTGCACAGCTCCCCATGCAGCAGGGCCACAGCAACCCCAAAACGAGCAGGGAGCTGTCCCAAGGGCATCCTCAGCAGCCTGAAGGGAGTCAGTCATTCACTGCTGGCAGCAGCCTGGAGAATACCATGAACTTTCACATCCAGGGTCTTGCTTTTAGTGAGGGAAAGCAGAAAACAACACAACTTTCTCCTCTTCTGCTGGACTAAATGGACATTCCAGAATCAAAGCCTTCATGAAAGTTTTAAAGGGGCATTTTTCTTTTCAAATACAAATACAACACTATATACAGATATGATAAAGGGGGGGGGGGGGGGGGGGGGGTGAATTCCAGTGGATGAGTGAAGCTGCCATAA